TCTTCTGCCTACCACAAACTGGTTGCGGCCTCCTCTGAGCCTCTGAAGTTTCTTTTCTGTCGCGGCTGATCTCCCCGCTGGTGAGGGGCCTTCCCAGGGTGTGGGAACTTCTTTCCTTTCAGCTCCCTCCCAGGGGCACAGGTCCCATCTCGCGTCCTCTTTTTTTTTTTCCTTTTGTCCTTCCCAGTTACCTGGAGCTCTTTCTTGTCCTTTCAGGTGTTTGAGGTCTTCTGCTCGTGTTCACTAGGTGTTCTTTGAGAATTGTTACCTTTGTAGATGTTTTTTTGATGTATTTGTGGGAAGAGGTGAGTTCCCCGTCCTACTACTCCGCCATCTTGAGCCCCTAAAGTTTTTTCTTTTCTAATGAATGAGGGAGATCTTTATCCCTTAATGAAGAATGTCTTTTTCATGAAACTGGATTTCCAGTGTTTGCTTCAAGAAGTGAGAAGTTTTCTTGATTCCAACTCTAAATTTGTCCTGAACTAGATACCCAGCAAAATCAAGTTATTTTTAGTGGATTGTCAGTGAGATTATTTTTTGTACTTGTGTGCAGTGCTAAAATTTCCCCGCTAGGTACAGCCAAGATGATAGTTCGGACTCCCTGCCAGTTGCTCTTCTCTACAGAGGTGCCATTTTTCTAATCTGGCTTTGAATTATACCAGGACTCTGAATCCAAAGCACACAGATTGCATAATTGTGTACCTAGGCTTAGGTGACAATGACTTCATCGTACTTACCATAGCCAATTACCGTGTAGGTCAGAGTGAAAAGTTATGCTTTAATAGGACAGAGCACTATACATTGAAGGCTTAGCTTAACACTTATTTTTGGAACTGCTAGTCTTGTGTGAGAGGGCCAAACTCATACATTTTGGTCAGAAAGTGAGGTTTGCCAGAGTGCTTGCTTCCAAACACGTGTTCCTACTGCTCAAATCATTTCTTTGCCATTAGTGGCATTCGCTCTCTTATTGCAAAGTTACCAAATGAGAAAACCACCTTTTTGCTTCCTACAGAAAGAACTACATTTCTGTTTCATTCCAGGTAAGATAGTGTGATGGTTCATTTTATGTGTCAGTTTGACTGGTCACAGGGTGACCAGGTTAAAATTTATTTCTGGGTGTGTCTGACAGGGTGTTTCTGGATGGGAGTAGGATTTCAACCAGTAGACTTGGTAAAGTAAAATGCTGCCTCCATGTGTGTGGGCATTACCCAGTCCGTGGAGGGCCTGAGTAGAAATGGCAAAGGAAGGAGGAATTTGCCCCTCTTTGCTTTCTGTCTGCATGCTTGAGTTGGGACATCTCATCTTCTCTAGCCCCCAGACTGGGTTTTAAACCATTGGTTCTCAGCCCTTCAGACTTAAATGCATTACCCCACTGGCTTTCCTGGGTTTCTAGCTTGCAGGTTGTGGGACATCTCAGCTTCCAGAATCATGTGAGCCAATTCATCATAATAAATCTCCATATAATATATATAATTTATTAATATATTAACTTTAATATAATTTTAATTACAATTTACGTATTTAATATATTAATATTAAATATAGTATATATTTAAAACATGTTTTATTATGTAATGTTATATGTATATTATATATATTAAATCTATATCTTTATATCTGTCTAGTCATCTCTCATCAATTTATCTGTTATCTTTCATTTGTCTATCTCTCCTACTGTTTCTATTTCTCTGGAGAACCCCTAATTAATATAGATTTTTACTTTTATTGTCCCCATTTTACAGTGAAGAAACTGGGGCAATGAAGAATATATAATACACGCAAAGTCACATAGCTTACCCTCAGAGTACTCTTAAAACACCAGACTATACTGCATATAAATAAGTTGATTAAAATTTGCTTTAAATTTAATATTTCAGGAACAAAACAAACACAAAGTAAGGAATTTCTGTTTTATATATATTTCCTAAATGATACCTAGGATACCTAGGAAATTCATTTATGTCTGTGATATAAGTTTTTTTTGGGGGGGAGGGTAAACAGAAGGTACAGCATATGAACTGAAACTAGAGTATAGACTATGGGTTCTTTCATTTAGAATCAGTCTTGGCTCCTTTTAAAAAACATTTGTGTTTCTCAAGCAGGAAATCAGACATCTTTGCCATAGCTTCATTTTAAAAATTGTGGTAAAGTATACAGCATAAAATTGGTCATTTTAATCATTTTAAGTGTACAATTCAGTTGCAGTAAGCGTATTCAAATTGATGTGCAACCATCATTACCACCCATCTCCAGAACTTTGTAATCATTCCAAACAGAAACTCTATATTCATTAAAAAACAACAGTTCCTCATTCCTACCCCACTCAGCCTCTGGTAACCTCTATTGTATTTTTGGTTTATGAATTTGTCTGTTCTTGGTACTTCCTATAAGTGGAATCATACAGTATTTTCCCTTTTGGTCTGGCTTATTTCACATAGCATAACGTTTTCAAGGTACATCAATGTTGGAGCATATATCAGAATTTCATTCCTTTTTAAGGTTGAATAATAGTCTACTGTATGTACCTACCATATTTTATCATATCATCTGTTGATGCACATTGGGGTTGTTTCTACCTTTTGGCTCTCCTGAATAATACCTCTGTGAACACTGGTATACAAGTATCTGTTTGAGTCCCTTCTTTCAATTCTTTTGGGTATATATGTGAAGTAGAATTACTGGGTCATATATGGTAATTCTCTCTTTACTTTTGAGGAGCTGCCAAACTATTTTCCACAGTGGCTATACCATAATACATTCCCACCAGCAATGTATAAGGGTTCCAATTTCTCCATATCTTCACCAGCACTTGTTACTTTCCTCTTTTGGGGGGGATGGTAATAGCCATCTTAATGGGTACAAAGTGGTATCTAACTATGGTTTTGAATTGTACCTAATGACTAGCAATGTTGAGCATCTTTTCATTTGTTGGCCATTGTATATCTTCTTCAGAGAAATGTCTGTTAAGTCTTTTGCCCATTTTTATTTATTTATTATTTTGGCTGCACCGCGTCTTAGTTGTGGCACACGGGATCTTCGTTGCAGCATGCGGACTCTTAGTTGTGGCATGTATGTGGGATCTAGTTCCCCGACCAGGGATTGAACCCAGGCCCCCTGCATTGGGAGCGCGGAGTCTTACCTGCGGGACCACCAGGGAAGGACCACCAGGGAAGGACCACCAGGGAAGTCCCTTGCCCATTTTTAAATTGGATTGCTTGGGGTTTTTTTTGTTTTTTTGTGTGGGGTTTTAAGAGTTCTTCATATATTTTGGATATTAATCCCTTATCGAACGTAAAATATGCAAATATTTTCTCCCATTCAGTGTGATGTCTTTTCACTCTCTTGATAGTGTCCTTTGATGCACAGAAGTTTTAAATTTTGCTGTAGTCCAATTTATTGTTTTCATTTGTTGAATGTCCTTTTGGTGTCAGCTCCAAGAAATCATTGCCAAATCTAATGTCATGAAGCCTTTCACCTAAGTTTCCTTTTAAGAGTTTTATAGTTTTAGCTCTTACATTTAGGACTTTGATCCATTTTAAGTGTTTTTTTAAATTTTTGAACTTATTCCAAATGTGGGTTACAGTAATAGTTTTCATCATTTTGAGTCAGTTTTTGTGTATGATTTAAGATAAGGGTCCAACTTCATTCTTTTGCATGTGGATATCCAGTTTTCCCAGAACTATTTGTTGAAAAAACTGTACTTTTCCCACTGAATGATCTTGGCACCCTTGTTGGAAATCAGTTGACCATATATGAGAGAGTTTATTTCTGTGCCATGACCTCATTTTGTACAAGTAGGAAATAGGCCCTATAATCCTTTTATAGGTATGCAATAGGTACTTTCTGGTAATGTAATATATATAGTACAGAAGGTCTATGCCAGAAGGGCTATCATATATAATAAAAGGATATGGTAAAAAAAAGAAGAAAAACAAATACCACCAAAAAAGATTTTAAAGCACATTTTTATTATAGATAGGCAAGTGTGGTTTGCTGTGGGTAATAGTATGTTTATAATGGGTGTACATGCTTTTCTATATACCAAAAGGTATAATATTTTTCTTTTAATACGTAACTAACACTTCTCTGACAACAAGGAAAGTCTGAACTTGCTGAGCCTATTTTAAATAGCAAAGGACTGTTTTTGTTTTCCTGAATGTTACTTTAAAGACTGGTAAATTGAATTCTTTTAGGTCCCAACACATTAAATTTAAGAACAGTGAAAGAAAATCAATGAATAATTACAAAAACATGTAATTTCTATGAAGCAGAAATATAAAGCTTTTATAATTTAAAACATCAGCAATTTCAAAAGATTTGCTGAATTAATTAGAACTTTACAAAATATATATACACAAAATATCATCCCAGATGATCATGGATTTTTAAAAATAGTATATCACAACCCCTAAACTCTAACCCAAACCTACTACTGGATGTAGCTGGCCTACAATTTTTTACAGCAATTTAAAAATAAAACAGTTAAAAAAAAAACCCTCCCAATTCTCTTGTGCTTAAGCACCGGTTACAGTGTGCTGGCTTTGATTCTAATATCCACAAAGAGAATTTTAAAATAAAACAAGGACTTCACATAAATAATGTTTTACTTGTTATTAAGTATGTGACCAAACAAATTAAAATAAGTACTAACAACCAAAATATATCTTGATGTAACCAGTACATACACTCTTAAAGAATGACAGAGACGAATAAAGAAATAGTCTATGAAAGCCACAAGCACCTTGTTTTAGAAAGAGCATCAAGCAACACAAAAAGGCAACATGTAAGAGGTAGTGTATCACCGGCTAAGATGTATATGCCCACTGGGGACCTGAATACAGCTTAGTATTTGGGAAAATAAGACATATCAGACTGTGGCTTGCAATTTTTAGACAGAAGCATTGCACGTTTGGGAGCATTAGCCAGTATTGCTCCATAGTGCTTTGCGTCTCCAGCTGTCTAATGGGTACTTTGCTCTCAGACAGTCAAAAAATATAGAATATCCTGAAGAATTCCATGTTTATAAATGTTCAGTTCTAGGGAATTCTCTAAGAAAGCTCAGATCAATATAATTTTTAAAAGAATTAAATACTTATAGTCCTTTAAAAAATGCCTCGTCTCCTTCTTAGGAGGAAGTCTTTTCTTCCTGAGATTCTTTAAGATTTAGCCAATGCTTTATTCCATGCATTTCATAATATCCAATAGTACCTTTCTGTCTATATTTTTCCCTCTGCAGCAATTACCTGGCCAACAGCATGAATTCTGAACTAATTCAGAGACTTTAGAGAAAGCATACAGAACTGCTTTCAATGTAGTACTTCCGTTCAGTTTTGAGATGAGGAAGTTTTTGTACTTCAATTACTGGAAGTTGATTAGGGTCCTGGGTGTGAAAAAGGAATTTTGCTTTATGCCAGCTGCCATCTTGAATCTGTAAAATAAGAATGAAATGCTTTAATCTGTAATTGTTTCATTAGCAGCAGACAGTGTCCTTCATAGACAATGTAGACTTATTTTAAGGATTAGAAATAATGAACAGAAAGTGCCTAGAACAATGCCTGGCACAGAGTAAATGCTCAAAAAACGGTAACAATTACTATGAATAATTGAAAATATGTGCTTATTCCTTTCTCTAAATGGCATTGTGTGTTCTGATTTTTCTTTTGAGGGTTTCTGCTTCTGTTGTCTGTGGATCATTGGACCAGATATGAATTTAAAAACTGCACTATTCCTAATATGAGTAATACCCATCTGTTTTGTGTTCCTTTATTTGGGAGTGATGTTTCAGGATGGGCATTTTTCTTGGATGAAAGGGAATGAGCTAGCTCAACCTCTCTGTACTTTACTTTAGGCAGGAAATAAGCAGAATCACTTCAGTAGAAGTAAATTATAATTACATTGAATCATCTTTTAGGTTTCTTTTTTTTCCATTCTGTGGTTACTGTTTATATAGTTTCTTTCATTCCTCTCTTCCTTTCCTTCTACGCCTTTCTGTTTCTCTTTATTACTGTATGCTCTTTTGTTTCTGGTAAATTCTGTTATGGATCAAAAACTATTACATGATTAAGATTCAAGAAGACAAAATAGAGAAACACAGTTGACTAGTTTTGTGAAGCTTTTTATACAGGAGTTTATTCATTTACTCATTCACAGAATTATCATGGTATAAATTTTAAAGTTTGAAGGAGCTTTAGAAATTATCTAAACTATAAATTCCATTTTATGTTAAGGCAATTGAAGCTCACAGAAGATAAATTACCAAAGTCACAAGCTTGGTATAATAACTAGAATAGAGTTCCCTGTGTAAGACACTGTCAGATTAACTTCATTAAATCTCAAACAATATGTGTTGAACACTAAGTACATTTGGCACAGTTGAATAAGATGTAATCCTTCATTTCCTTACAGTGCTTGGAAAATACAAAGATGAATAAATTAGTTCTGGCTTCTGAATTCTAGCAACTTATAAATTTAGTTGGGGAGAGGAGAAACAGCCATAATATAAGACTGTATATGATAAATGCAACATAAATAATGTAGACAATGAGTGCTAAGTCCCTCATTTCCAACTGGAAGTGTCAGGGAAAGCTTTGTGAATTCAGAATTTAAGATGGGCCTTAAAGTTTGCCTACAATTTCCACTTGGTTAGAGGGGTAGAGAACGGCACTTCAGAGAAAGGGAATGACCTGAATAGAAAAAAACAAAAAGTTGGAAAAGTAGAATGTGGTTGTGAAAATAAGCCTAGCATGGGGTTTAAGTGCACAGATTTTGACTTGGAACAGATTTTGATAGAAACCCAAGTAGAGCTATTCTCTTCACATATAAAATGGGAAGAATAAAAACCTACCTCACAGTATTGTGTGGATTAAATGAGTCTTCAATTAAAAGTCCCTAGCGGTGTAGCATGGCATTGACTTTGGAACTGTACACACCTGGGGTTGATTTCTTGCTCCTCTGCTAATTAGCTGTATGACCTTGAACAAGTTACTTAACCTCTGTGCCTTCACTTTCTTACCTATAAAATGATACTAATAGGAACTTCTTCACAAAGCTGTTATAATTAAATAATGTATGCAGTACATGGTACCTGTCATCTAATAAGTCTCCAATAATTAGTAGTAGGAATTGTTGTTTTTGTTGTTATTATTATTATAAATAGATCAGGTGGACCACACTTTAGGGTACACAGTCAGTGAAAGGTAGAAAGGTAGGTTTGGGGCCTGACTATTCTAACTGCTGAATAAAGAGCTGATAAGTTTTGATTGTGTCTCAGAGATAGTAGTGAGTCACTAAAAGTTTCAGGACAAAATTGTGAAAGTTAAATTAATTTGTTGGTAATATTGATCTCTTCACCTATAGAGAGTGAGCTGTATACTTCTGTTTGCTTATGATTTTTCAAATACCCAAGAGCTGTTTATCTGAAAATGAAATGTGAAAAAGTAAAGCACCCTAGAAATGGTAAGAGATCCTAAATCAAGAGCTGTTTATCTGAAAATGAAATGTGAAAAAGTAAAGCACCCTAGAAATGGTAAGAGATCCTAAATCATAGTACACCAGAACAGGAAACCGCGCTACTTAAAGAAATTAGGATGTATGTAAAGTGGACAACCCTATACTATATAACAGGAGTCAGCAAACTCTTCTGTAAAGGGTTAGATAATAAATGTTCTAGGTTTTGTGGGCCATACAGTCTCTGTCGCACTTGCTCAACTCAGCCATTGTAGTGTGATAACAGCCCTAGATAATAAACAAACGAATGAGTGTGGCTGTGTTCCAGTAGCATATATGTATGAAGACGAGTGCTGGGCTAGATCTGGTCTGTGGATTATAGTTTGCGACACCTACTCCACAACGTAATGTTTTAAAATTATAGACTCTTCACTATTATTTAATAGGAAAAATGGGCTGTGGTTCAAATACAGATTTGTAGGGTCAGTCAATCTGCCATTATGCCCATTATTTGGTATCAGGTATAGGGACTGACAAAATGAAATAAAGCTGACTTGCCTCTATAACCTGCCTTCCATGATGTAATGAGATGCAGAATCACAGTGCTAAAAATATAGGAAAGAAATCATTTGTCTATATGCCCTATCTGCCATCTGTCTATCCATCCATCGATCTATGATATAATTATTTCATATGGGGAATAAAAATTAAATTTATGTATTAACACCTGTTTTGCATATAAAACTTCACGGATGAACAATGGGTGTGACAAAAGTTGATATGATATAAGCAAATAATTGACTCTGAAAAATGTACGGTTATTACACATCAGGCACGTTAAAACTTACTACCTTCTGTATCTGTGGTTTGCAATTAAAGTCTTACTCATTATATTAATTTTATACAGTTTTATCAATTTTACGTTAGTTATATTGAACAATCCTAAAAGTGCCATTCCCTTACCTTGCAGTCATCTGAGAGCACTTTAGGTTCAAGAAGAGTGTTTTCTTCGAAAATCTGGCTGTTCCATCCCTTGAAACCAATAGTCAATCCTGAGCCACTTGTCTGAGCACTTGTCCACACTGGAGTGTTTAGACAATGAATGGTGATGATATGGGTGGCTTCTGAGCTCAGTAAATGAAGGAAGTTCATCTGGACTTTTCCAACTCCAAACTCCAACTAATGTCATTGAAACAATATGCAAGTTATAAGATATGGCAATTGAAAGCCTTACAGTTTGGGGAAACCTGAAGAAAGTCCTTGACAGGCCAGGGGTGGGGCAGGGGGGAATCCCTGATTTATAGCATTTTCTGATTTCCACCCCTCTGGTGGGAGTTGTAAATACTCCTACCGTGGCTGGTTTTAGGCTATCAAGGTAGTGTCATTAAACATGGAGTTCACAAGAGACATTAATCATAGGCTCTCCTGAGCAGTATGAGCTGGCTTTAGCATACTACTAGGCTACTAGATATGAACAAAAAAAAAAAAAAAAAGGAGATACTTTGCATAATGTTATTTAAGATGCATTAATAATTTGTTGTTGATTATTGCTTAAAATTTTTTCATAAAAATCTGAAATTCTGTCTATACTTTCATTTGAAGATTTATTTTTGAGTTTCCAAAGATAAGTTGAAAGTTGTAATAATAAATTGATTAATTTTAACTATGAGAGCCTTCACAGACAAAGACAGAATCTTAGTCTTTGTGTTGCCAGCCCCTAATGCAGTTCCAGTCATACAGTGAGTCATCAGTAAATGTTTATTGCATGAATGAATGAATGCGTGAGCAAGTATTTACTAATAAAGTGAACGATACAGGGCAACACTGGAGCAAGGAAGTATGACTGCACGTTTTCTAGGCTTGAACAAGGAAACAGGTTTTTCTGTAGCTTTAGACCTCATCATCATCATTATTATTTTAGCATTATTCAAGCATGGGGATGGTCATAACATAAATGAATAGAAGTAGTTCCTACTGAGGAATTTATGTTAATCTCCAAACACAAAATCAGAGAAATATCAGTTATGAGGTAACAGAGAAGGGAAAAAAATAAAATGACAACAAAAAAGCAAAACTTCAGGGAAAGAGAGGAAAGGCAAAGGAAGAGTATAAAGATGAAAACATGGAAGGATCATCATGAGGAATATTAGAGCTGAAGTAATTCAAATTCCTTCATTTTGCAGATGAGAACCACAAACCTGTGACGTATGTAGCCTTTCTGAGCTTTAGTTTCTTTGTTGGTAAAGCTGGGTATAACCCCGACATGACAGGGTTGTTATGAGGATGAGAGGTGCCCACTGTCATTTAGCTAGCACAGCACCTGGCACAGAGTGGGCTCTCTGGTGGCTCACAGCATCATTCCCCAGGTTTGTAGGGGAAAAGAAATTAGAATCCAGGTTCCAGATTGCAAGTCTGCTGTTCTTTCCACTACCTGCGCAGTCTTTCTCAGGTTGCGTTTATGGATAGGAGAGATGGGAGAATTGATTCAGCCAAGGAAAGAAACTGGAGTGCAGCTCCTTCATTTGATCCTGTCTTCTTTGCACACCAGTCTCCCCTTTTCTTCCACGATAATCCAAATAAAAATCCTGGGCTGGGGCTTCCCTGGTGGCGCAGTGGTTGAGAGTCCACCTGCCAATGCAGGGGACACGGGTGCGTGCCCTGGTCTGGGAAGATCCCACATGCCGCGGAGCGGCTAGGCCCGTGAGCCATGGCCGCTGAGCCTGTGTGTCCGGAGCCTGTGCTCCGCAACGGGAGAGGCCACAACAGTGAGAGGCCCACGTACCGCAAAAAAAAAAAAAAAAAATCCTGGGCTAAACCCAGGGGAGTGAGGATGATTGTGCACAGTTTGGAAGCAGGACGATCATGCTGCTCCTCATTAGTTCCACAGATCCCATAGGAACATAAGAATCCGCCCCTCCTCTGCTTTGGGTAACAGTGGTGAATGGCTATTGAGATGAGCTGGTGAAACACCCTAGTTAACGAAGGGGAGCGTTTTAGGAGGAGAGGGCAGTCTAATGATAAGCAGCTGGGAGGGACTGACACACTGCATATTTTAGCTGCTGCCTTTCTGTGGTGGACAAAACACACAATAGGTCCGTGTATCAGTTCTTTGTCAATGAGAAAAGTTCTTGGGAAGGCCAAGGTAGTTTAACCAGAAAAAGAAAGAAATGCAGTTTTAGTTTCTTCAGTACATGTTGTAGGTAGAACTAAGCTTTAGGGTTTAGAAATGCTTGTTATAATATCCAGTGTTACATACCAAACTAACTTTCATTCATTCTAAACATTTGGTTTATAGAATTATACTTGTAAGAAATTTTAAATAATATCCAGTGGATGTTTAGGAGAGGTCATTTTTGTGCCCAGTCACCAAAAATAGCAAGCTTTGTGGTGAAATTCCTCTTTTAATCATGATGATGTCTTTTTCAGTAAAACTTAAGGTAACTGATTACTGAGTACAAACACTGCAGCTGTTTGGGAATTTTCTAATGAATGCATGTGCATGAAAACATATGTTTTACATTTTTAAAAGGAATTTAAAAAGCATAGTCAGTAGAGTAAGCCAAACTAAGCCAGTCATAAAAATACATAATCAAAATGTCAAGATTTAACAGGATTATTTTTTAAAAACAAAAAATTTCTTCCTCATATATGGTAGAGAATATCTTGTTTCCATTCATAAAATTCATAATTATTTAAAATGAAAGAATTTTTAAAATCACTGTTTACTGATAGCGGGCAAGTACTAAATTCAAAACATACCTTTGTCACAGAGACAGGAGATAAACATGTCTGACCACCAGCACTGAAATTGCAGAAAACCTCAATGGCATCTGAAGGGCATCCAAGATTTGGATCAATCCAGTATTTTCCTATTAATTTATTGTAAAACATAAAGATATTTAAATGCCATGCTAAAATATATTTGAACTATCCTTACAGATTATCATGATACTTTCAATATATTTTTTCACGCTTTTTCCTTTTAAAAAACTTAGATTATAAAGATGTTTACATTTAGTCAAAGAATGAAAGCTGCAAGCATTATGTAAAACCAATACTGAAAATACTGTATTTTTCACATACCTATCAATTTAAGGACATTTTATAATTTTAATAAAAAATAACCGAATGGCTGAATCTGTTGCTTCATTCTGTAGATAAGCGCAGCAACTTTAAGTGAATTGTCTAAAGTTACATAGTTAATAGAAAAGTTGAAATTAATATAGGATATGTGTGTATTTTTGTTCTATGTCATTACAGAGCTTAAAAATGAATATATATATTTAAAAAACAGAAACAACTTCTTCAGTCTCCCTGAGGAAAAACATATCTTTATGTGTAATATTGATAATTAAAATGAAAGGAATAAACATTTTTTTGTTTCCAGAAGAGAAATGTGCAATTAAATGGTTATTTTTGTGCTTTCTTTTCAGATCTGTAAGTGGAAAAAACTGAAATCTCTACAGCCAGTGTAAGCCTGCCAACCTTTGCCTCCATTGAGTGCCCAGGAGAATCAAATGGTGTGTAAAAGACTTCAAGACATATTCAGACTGAAAAGTACTGGGCTAGCGTCTTAATTCCGGAATAACAGGCTCAGAATACTGAAATAGCACCTTATTCTGAACACAAAGGGCAGGAATTTTTGAATGAGATGGCCCTGCCTTATTGCATTAAAAAGGCAAGACAATCAAACAGTATTTGTAAAATGTCATTTTCTATAATAGGTAGAAATCCTTGTTTGTTCCATTCCTATCCCACAGCAAAGATTCCTCCAGCTCATCCTGGGCTTCACCTGGTGTATCATTTTAGACTTCCACAACATCCTCGACTATTCTCCCCTCTACTATTCTACCAGTTCTTCAAAGGGAAGACTTGTTGAATTGGTACTTCCAAGAGTAGGGGACTGTCACAGACAGTCCAGATAGCTGGACTCCATCCCAAGAGTTGCTGAATCATTAAATCTGGGATGGGGCTTGAGAATCTGCATCTAATTCTGGTCCACAGACTATTTGGAGAATCACTGATCTATTGAAATATGGAAGAAAGGGGTGAAAAAGATCCTAATACCACCTCCATCCTGTTTTTTCCCATTTCCTCAGAATGTTGAACATTTTGTAGTTTGTAGAAATTATAGCTGGGTTTTTGTTTTTTTTTAAACCAGGATCTGATCCAGGCTTACAGTCATATCTTGATTCATCATCTCTTCTCTCTCAAGAAATAGTTTCCTCCTACTATGTGAGTGAATATATTCTTTATAAAACGTTTTCCTTCAAGCAAGTTCTCATTGTTACATGGGGTGGAATGCTTTGAATTCAGGCATTATGTTGTACAATGGTGAACTGGTAGGGGCTTCATATTTTTTTCAGGGTATGCTGAGCTACAGATAAAGCACTATACCATAATACGTCTTTTATAGGCCTAAATGCTCTAACTCCAAATTGGCTCTCTTCTGAGAACACTGCTTCCCCTGCAGCTCTTTCAAGTTCTGCCACAGCCTCTATAGCATTGTGCCTGGGTGGGGAAGGGATCTTTCTTGCTCCTCGTTGCCACTTTCAGACCGTTCTCCCCACTTTCTCCCTAAAAACACTCTGTGGTAAAATTGCCGTCATTGCACTATGTCACCTGTTACCTCTTCCTGTTGCTATCACCAAATTTATTTCTTTGATGATTCTAGCTATCACTTTCAGAAAATCTATTTATAACCTAATTCTTCGTGATTTTCACATCCACATGGTTGATATTTGCAGTACCGACTTCTCAGTGCCTCGAACTCTCTCCCACCAACGTTTTTGTACCCTTCTCCTGTCCTGTTTACTTTAAACATTAACTTATAAGGCCATACCCTAGTTTTTGTTATTACCTACAGCTAGATCTCCTCCATGATTTCGCCTCTTTTCTCATTCCAGCTCATTCCCTCTAGTGTTCTGACTCTAATAATTCTTTGATCTCATTAGGACCTACTAGCCATTGATACTACCACTTTTTCATTGTCCTTCATAATCATGTGTTCACTTCTCTTCCTGCCTAGCTTAAAACCCACAGTCCTTTGCTATGATCATTTCCTTAGAGACTTCCTTAACATTCTTGCCCTGCCTCACTTCATTGTGCTTGTCTTATAAAATCCCAGTCCTGCATAAATCCAGTTTTGTGCCTAATCTGTGCCTGTACCTGCACAACTAAATGTGCCTAGAGAAAAACACAACTATGCTGACTGGCCTCACTTTAAATTTAAATGTTTGAAAGGCTGCCAGACAGTACTACTATGTTTCCCTAGTTCATTTCCTCTGTCACTTTCATAGTTAACCATTTGAAACCTTTTCCTGTCCTCTCAAGTTAATTATACCTTTCCTTCATTCTTATTCTTGACTGATAACCTTTCAGTTTCACTGGGACAACTAAAGCAAACTGAAGGAAACTTACATAAGCTCCCTTTATGACCTTTACCCATCTATCTGTACTTGCACACATATATTCTGCCTTCTCTCTTATTATTGTGAATAAACCGTGTTCCTAAATAAGGTTTACCTTGTCCGTTAAACCTTCCATTTCAAACTTTTCCTCTCTTATTTTTTCTTTCCAGTCAGCTTCTGTTGTCTGCTGTTTCTGCCAGTTCTCATTCGTGGTGTTTTGTCAACTTGTGTGCTTAGTTATCATTGATTGTGTGCTGGGCACTATATTTGAAAAATAATTTGTGGAAATAATTTGAGCCCTAGGATGATATTATCTTTCATAGAAGAGTTTTGTTTGTTTCTATCAGGTATGAGGGGCTACTAGCAGTCTGGAATCATCTTAATCCAAGTTCACAGTTTGAGATTTTCTGAGCCGTCTTGACGATGTGAAGCTAGGCTGCAATCTGTACGAATATCTTTTCTTTCCGTTTATTTTTACTCTTAAAGTGGAGCCCTTTGAAAGCCTAAGTCCCCACCTTTTGTGGACTTCAGATTCCAACCTTTGACCAAAAGCACTACTCAGTTTCTGAACACACCCAGGGCCAAAGTAGCTCTAAGTATGTGTTCATCTCTCTGCTGTCTTTTTCAGAATATTGGCTTGAAAGTCCCTCACTACTTTGTCAGTATTTGATGCTTTTAACTTAATTTTCAAAAAGTTTCGTCAGGCAAATTGAATTACTTGCTTCATTAATGGGAGTGGAAACTCTCCAGCTCCACCATTTTCTCTGAAAACCTGATACAGTTTTAACTACTACCATTCCTCTAAACCGCTCTTGCGAAGATCATCAAAGACCTTCCCATTACTAAATCTAGTAGCCTTTCTCAGTCTTCACCTAACTTGACATCGACCCAGTAGATCTCCTGCTCCTCAGGCAAACATTTTCTTCACTCCACATTCATCTAGTTCTCCTCTTATCTCAGTGATAGCTTCTTCTTAGTCTTCTTCGCTAGTTCCCCCTCAACTCCCTGACCTCTGTAAACATTGGAGAGCTCTAAGGCACAGTTTTTAGAACTCTTCTCTTTTCTTTATTTATCTGTTCTTTAGATAGCCTTAAACAGTCTCAGGGCATTGGATACTGTTTATATGCAGATGACTTCATAAATTTTACCCCTAGCCAGGACCTCACTCCTGAATAGCCAATGACCTACTTGACATCCTTACTTGAATGCCTAACAGACATCTCAAATTAAATACATCCAAAACCGAACTCCAAACTTGCTTCTCTATCTCTTTTGACAGCAATTCCACTCTTCTAGTCCCTTAGTCAAAAATCTTAGAGTCATCCTTTATCATTCTATTTCTCTCATAAGCCACATCCGAATTACCAACAAAAAACTGCTGGCTCTACCTTAAAACATATCCAAAGATTTGACCATTTCTTACCACTTCCCCACCACCAACTCTAGTCCAAGCCATCATCACCTCTTACTGGATTATTTCAATAGTCCTCTCAATGTCTCCTTCTACCCTGTCCTCATATTTGCAGTACAACACCCAGAGTAACATTTAAAAAATTTAAGTCAAGTCACGTCATTCCTTTGCTCAGAATCTTCCAGAGGCTTCCCATCTTATTCAGTAAAAGCTGGAGTCTTTTGAGTAATCTATAAGATCCTGTATAATCTGGTTTCTTGACATCTTTCTGACTTCATTTCCTACCATTCTTCCCCTTATGCACTTTCTTCCAGTCACCTTGGCCTTCTTGCTAATAGTAGAACATGCTAAGTACACGGTCAGGTTCAAGGACCTTGCGTTTGTTCTTTCTTCCTGGAAAGCTCTTTCCCCAGATTTCCTGTGGCTTGTTCCCTTACCTCCTTCTGATATTGCTCAAATGTCACTTTCTCAGAGATGCTTTATCTACCTACTCTATTTACCACTTCACCCCCCACCCTACTTTCTGTCATATCCCCTCTTCCCTGCTGTTTTGTGTTTCTCTACTGCACTTACAATCTCCTAGTGATGAAAGTATTTTTGGGCATAAAGACCTTTCTGATACCTTACAAGCCATACCACTTAGCTATTTCTCCTATGAGGAAGGCAGACCTTGAATTAGATTTCAGTAATTTGTATGTCCTGTAGTGTCTTTGTTCCTTTCAGTTCTATAGAATTGCATTTTTATACCCTCAGATATGGGAAAGAATCAAATTTGAATTATTGTAGGCAGCTATAACTGTAAATATTATTTGTTTTTGTGATAATCTAGGGCAGGAAATATCTATAGAAGTTAAGCATTTTATTAATATAAATAAAATGAATATTTTCACTATACTGTATTCTAGAATGGAAGATGTTTTTGGACAAACATATATTTATACATATATATGTATATGTGTATGTGTGTGTGTATAAAATAAAATATGGACTACTATTCATCCTGCAGAATTAAATAACTTAGTTATTTTCAAATCAGCATATATGTCATTGTGTGTTAAGACTAGAGTTTTTACCAAAAAATGATAACTACTAATATTGATTGTACAGCTGACCAGGTAGACCCAATAGAAATTAAAATTAAATGACATGTTGTAGCAGACAGGGTCTCCCCTACTTATCATCAGATAGCGATGGTTCTTCCACTTGCTTTAAACCTTTCCTTGATGGTTCTGTTTTTGCACCTCTGGCTAATGGATTTGGGGTATCAATGTGAGGATGAGAAAATTCCAAGAATGACAAGCCACTCCATCTTTATAGTCACTGATACTGAAATGAGGCATTTAAATTCCATTTTATGTGAAAACTAATTATAGAGAGTGTGGTAGAGAGGGCTCTATGACCTCTTCGTGTTGCCATAAGTCAGGCTGTGCAGTGGAAAACCTTTTGTAAAGTGAACCCTTGAAAAAGGATACTTTGACCTCAGAAACATGTTTATCTCTTTGAGTACGTATTTGGTTCTTGATGTTAAAATGCCTCTGCCAGGGATTTATCAAAAATGATAAGGTTTGGAATAAATACACCGCAAATCTCAAACACACTGAAACGATGAAGCAAAATTAGATATCAGAGTTTAAGGAAACCAGTAACTTACCATCTGATACTTTGTGTTCACAGTTAAGCAAATCTTTGCAGATTCGTGCTGGGTTATCTCGTGTGCCAAGAGGATTCTTGATGCTGTGCAGTAAATTGCTAAGGTAGTTCAAGGTTTCGAATATCTCTGCACTGTGGTCAATTAAGGTCACTTCAGTATTCTGGTAGCTCTGCCAAGTCATTGTGAGAATCATATTAGCAAAGAAGCTTGGAGCAGTCATTACCAGCATGTAACCCAAATGATCAACACGGAGCAAGGCAGAAGAAAAATGTACTCCTGTTGTGTGCAAGGAGTTGGGAGTAGGATGTAAAGAACAGTTTATATTTAACTATAGGCATATTTGTATATTTTATTAATCTTGATCCTAATAAAAGCTTAAATTCACACTCAAAAGTCTAGTTTTCAAGCTGACATAAAACTTAATTACTATGCCTACTGCATAATTTGAAAAAAACCTATATTATGAATAAATAGAGCTTAAGTAGGAAAAATGAGTAGTGATGATAGATAGATCCCATTTTAAGAAATGGCTAACTTCATTAAACTGTTTCTTCTACAGTACCAAATTCTTATTTTAAAAAATCCTTTAACAATATTATATTTTTGTTTCAAATGTTTTCCTTAAAAAACATCTGATGCATACATTTCTGTTTATTAAAATTGCTTACTTTGTCCTTAAAATTTTTTCATTACTTTTAATCTCTTTTAAATACAGGCTTTGAGATAAAGTCACATTTGGGCCTCTGAAAGAAATTTCTGTTTAATTTGTAGATTGAGAGTGCCAGTGTAAATAAAGCCAGATCTATTACCTCCATCTGTAGGGCAGTATGTGATTCAATCAGGGCTTGAATAGCAGCATTGATATCCATTTGTTTCTGTGTAAAACAAAACCATTTGAGATCAGCAATAAGATCAACACTGAGTGCTCTAAAGTAAAGCCTATAAATTCTGAAAGCACTGCTGTTAAAGTATACTAGACTTATTATCTAAAAGGGGTTTGTAACTCTTATGGTTAGACAGATCTTGCAAGTATTGCCTGACTATCCGAAAGGACAATATGCTGCTTTCATCCAAATCTCAAAAGTCTCCTAATTAAAACAGGACCAAAGTCTAGAGTTCTCAAATGAAAAACTATTTGTCTCTGCTGCATAAAAACACAGAAAAAAGTTACTCACATGGAAGAAGAATGAAATATGATCCCCTCAGTTAATAAATTGTAAAGTGAAGAATAAATAACTGTAGTAATTTTTAACAGTTACATTCTTGGAAGGAAAATAGAATAAAATATTACTGTCCTGAGGTAGTCACCACATTAGTTTAATCTGATACTTCTGCGGTCTTAAAAACAATTTCTGAAGTTGGAAAAAGTATCATTAGTCCCAAAAGAAATAATACATCATGAATCCAATCTCCTCCTGCATTTAATAAAATATATTTTTAGAGAAAGACCCAACCTAACCATTAGTAAAAAGTCTTTTCGTATTTTATTTTTTAAAAAGCTTGGAAACTAAGAAGCATGAGTTGGGAGAAAGTTCTGTGAAATGGCATCTGTGTGAGCAAATCGAGCGATCTAATTTCTTTCAGAATGATTGTACTGCTGAGATATCTTTTTACTTGGCAGCCCATACAATAGAAACTCTTTTCAACAGATCTCTCATAACTCATGGTTGGTAATTTGAAAAACTATTTAAAATGATGGGACAATCAACAAAATGTACTCATCTTTGCCTCAACATGTGGTTTTCATATTGGAAAATACTTGACTCATTCTGCATATGTACACTGCCAAACACATATTGAGGAAAAAATGGTAAGCAAACAATACAAAACAAAACAACCTTGCCCTTGTAGAGCTAAAGTTTAGAGGTCGATAAAGGCATTAATCAAATAATCTCAAAAATACACATTTACAAATTGTGATACGTGCTATAAAAGAAAAGTGCATGGACCTATGAGAGAAATTACGGGGTATGAAATCTGGGGGATATAAGAGATTTGGAAGGACTAGATCAGCATAGGCTTCCCTGAGGTGGTGATATTTGAGCTGAGATCTGAAGAATAAATATGAATTGTTAGGAGAAGGGCTGGGAGAGCTTTCCAGGCAGAGGTAACAACTTTGCACAAAGGCAGTGAGATAGAAAAGCATGGCCTATTCAAGAAGAAGAAAGGCTTAGCATAAAATGTTCTGTGCAGATTAAATAATTCTGACCATCATTCTTGTGAGAATTGGCAGACTTTGGACATGGGTCACAAAAATATATTGGGAATAAATATGGGCAACTGAATTAAGTAGTAAACAATAGCCACCTTTATATTTTCCAGTTGTTTGTGGTTAGGGCTTTGATCTTAGAAAAACTAGCAATAAGCAGTTCTCAGGCGCTTCAGACTCAGGACCCTTTTGTACTTTTAAATATTATTAAGGGCTTTAAAGGACTTATATTTATGTGCCTTACAGCTTTTGATATTTAACATAGTAGGAATTAAAATATAAATTTTAAAACTATGTGTTAATTGCCTTAAAACAATAAATCCATTATATGTTAATATAAATAAACATTTTTTTAATGAAAAATAACTATTTTCCAAACAAAAAATTAGTGAGAAGAGCGGTACTGTTTTACACTTTTGTACATCTCTTTAATGTCTGGATTAATAGGAGATAGCTAGATTCTCATATTTGCTTCTATATTCAGTCTATTAAAGTGTTACTTTAGCTGAACTGTATGAAGAAAATCCAGCCTTAAAAAGATATGTAGTTGGAAAAAAGATTCTTTTAGTATCCTTTTCAGATAATTGTGGATATTCTTCTTTGATATTCTACCAGAACTTGATAAGTGGTAGTTTCTTGAAGGTTAGTTGAACTGTGAAATCTGAAACCGTATCTACAATGTATCTATTTTATATTCTTTTATATTAAAATCTATTGATCTATCTTAAACTTTGAAAGAATCGTTTACCAATGCATGATTTTAGTAAAAATCATGATTTTGGTTAAAATCATGCATTGATCATTGGAAAATAACGGTTCATGAAATAATGCAGATTTTCCAAAGAGTGACACATTTCATTATGTCATATCAAAAGATTACATTCGTTAACATCATCACCAATCTCATCAGAAAAATGTAAGTACTGGTAAGTTGTCAAACTTGTAATAGATACAAGCATTCCTCAGTTGTTATTGTTGCTTGAAAGTTTGAAATTTACCATTGGTATCAAATTGTCAGTTGTTTTCCTTGAAATGACAGGCTCACTTCATTCATTTTCAAGAAAATATCTGCCAAATACTCATGTCTGAATAACATTATCATTCTGTCGAGTAAAAATGGTGTTCCATGAAAAAAGCAGCTAGTTCAGTTTGCAACTGAAACAATTCTACAAGTGCTTTTATTTGAGGCAACCATTGTACTTCAATATGCAGAAATGCTTTATATGTTCTTCCATTTCATCACACAGAATATTAAAAAGATGTGTACTAAAGATTAGAGACCTAGGAGACAGCAAAATGGTGGCATAATGACCTCCCAGAATTCTCTCTTCTATAAAAGCAATGAGAAAACTGGAAAAAAATGTAAGAATGAAGTTTTTCAGAATTACAGAAATTAACAGAATGCTTGCAGCAACCTGGGGAGCATTTATGAAAAATAGCTTAATTTCAGTAAGGGCAGTGAGCTTTGTAAAGCTTTAATCTGTCCTATTCCCATGCCTCTCTTTCCAGCTCTGTGGCAGCCTTGAAAACAAGAAGCCTGGAAACCACAGGAGGGAGCAGAATGGGGCTGGAGTTGCTTCAAAGCCTTATTTCCAGCGAAATGTCATTATTTGACCTTTCTGGTGGTTCCCTTAAAGACTTGCAGGACTGTCTTTATTTTACCTGACTCAGAGCTCACTCAGTGCAAAAAGTCTTTCCCAAGGAACATTAAAAAAAATTTTTAGATGGAATTGTTTAACTTTGTGGCTACTGGAAACATTAGAAAACAGTCGGGGCAAACAGTAGGCTAAGAAAAGCTAGGGAATGAGATGTCCATAGAGATTCTAAAAAACTCTGACATATTCCTGGGAATCTAGAAGTCCATGTACATGCATAGGGCTGTGCACATGATCAGGAAAAACATAAGAAGGCCCTAAGTTCTGTCTTCTGGCTGACCTTCAGGCTCTGTGAAAATAGGAAATTAAAACTCGGGTATAGTTGTCAGTTGCCTGGCTGAGCACTGAAGGAATGCTCCAACATGCTCACAGAGACCCTTGGCAAAAACTGGGAGACTTCCTGGTTCTGGCATTTAAGGAAATCTCTCTCCAATCCTTAGCTGACCACTAAGCTAACAACAAAAACAACAAATAGCAACAATAAACACTGAGGTTGGGGTGAAGAATTTGACTTCCAGAGATGCCATTTTATATTTTTCAAAATGTCCAGTTTTCAAGAAAAAAATGACAAGACATGCTGAGTAACATTAAAGTATGACCCCTATACATGGGGAAAAGCCAAGCAATCAACAGAAATAGAAATTGTCCCTGAGGAAGCCCAGATGTTGAACTTAGTAGACAAAACTTTAGCTATTTTAGGTGTGTTCAAAGAACTAAAGTAAACCATGTCTACAGAACTAAAGGAAAGTATGAAAAAGATGTCTTACCAAATAAAAAATAGAAATTATAGAAAAGAACCAAGTAGAAGAAGTTTTGTAGTTGAATAATAACTGAAATCAAAATTTACTACAGAGGCTCAACTGTAGATTTCAGTAGATAGAAGAAAGAATCAGTGAACCTGAAAACAGTTTATTGAGATTATCCAGTCAGAGTCATATAAAGAAAAATGAAGCAGAAAATGAACAGGCTCAGAGATGTACAGAACATCATAAAACATACCAATGCATGAATGGTGGGAGTCTCAGAAGAGAAGAAGAGAGAAATAGGGGTAGAAAGAATATTTCAAAAAATAATGGCTGAAAATGTGCCAAATTTGATGAAAAACATTAATCTCCACATCCAAGAAGCTCAATGAATTCCCCTAGACACATCATAATCAAACTGTTGAAAGCTAAAGACAAAGAGAGAATCCTGAATGCAAAGAGAAGAGCGAATCCTGAATGCAAAGAGAAGAGACTCATCATATCCAAGGGATGAGATTTTTCATCAAAAACCATAAAGGTGAGAGGCAGTAGGATGACATATTCAGAGTGCTGAAGGAAAAAGACTATCAACCAAAAATTCTATATCCAATAAAACTATCCTTCAAAAAGGAGGAAAAAAGATATTCCCAGATAAACAAAAGCTGAGGCAATTTATCATTAGCAAACGTCCCTAGAAAAATAATAAAGGGAGTCCTTTGGACTGAAATAAAGGATACTAGGCAGAAACTTGAATACACATGAAGAAATAAAGAGCACTGGTAAAGATAACTATACAGGTAACTATAAAAGACAGTATAGATCCCAAACAGCCAAACAATCTTGAAAAAGGACAACAAACTTGGAGGTCTCACACTTCACTTTCAAAACTTACTACAAAGCTACAGTAATCAAAACAGTGTGGTACTGGCATACAGACAGACATACAGACCAATGGAATAGAGTGCAGGAATAAACCCTCACATATATGGTTAAATAATTTTTGAGAAGGGTACCAAGGCCATTCCCTAAGGAAGGAATAGTGCTGGGAAAATTTGATATCCACATGCAAAAGAATGAAGTTAGACTCCTACCTACATCATAAACAAAAATTAACTCAAAATGGATCAGATAATTAACTGTAAGACCTAAAACTATAAAACTCTTGAAGAAAATATATGGGAAATGCTTCATGACATTGGATTTGGCACTGATTTCTTGGAGATGAAACCAAAAGCAAGGTAAAACAACAACAACAAAACCCTGATAAATTGGACTACATCAAAAACTTCTGTGCAAAAATCAACAGAATGAAAAGGCAGCCAAAGGAATGGGAGAAAATATTTGCAAATCATATATATGATGAGGGATTAACATTTAGAATGCATAAAGAACTCCTATAACTCAACAACACAACAAAAGTAAGCAACCCAATTCAAAAATGGGCAAAAGACATTTTTCCGAAGAAGATATGTAAGCCAGTTTCGCCAAAGAAGATACATATAAGCCAGTGAGCACATGAAAAGATGCTTAACATCTGTAATCATTAAGGAAATGCAAGTCAAAACACAGTTATCTGCCACTTCACACCCCTTAGGATGGCTGTTATCAAACAAGCAGAATATAACAAATGTGAGGGAGGATTTGGAGAAATTGGAACCCTGTGTACTATTGGTGGGAATGTGAAATGGTGTACTTGCTATGGAAAACAGTATAGCAATTCCTCATAAAGTTAAACATAAAATTACCATATGATCCAGCAGTTTCACTTCTGGGTATATATGGAAATGAATTAAAGGCAGGGACTCTTTAATCCATATGGAGTTAATTTTTGTGTATGGTGTTAGGTAGTGTCCTAATTTCAGTTTTTTACATATAGCTGTCCAGTTTTCCCAGCACCACTTATTGAAGAGGCTGTCTTTTCTCCATTGTATGTTCTTGCCTTGTCATAAATTAGGTGGCCATTATGTGCGTGGGTTTATCTCTGGGCTTTCTATCCTGTACCATTGACATATGTTTTTGTGCCAGTACCATACTGTCTTTTTTTTTTTGGCTGCGTTGGGTCTTCGTTGCTGCTTGCGGGCTTTCTCTAGTTGTGGCAAGCAGGAGCTACTCTTTGTTGTGGTGCTTGGGCTTCTCATTGCGGTGGATTTTCTTGTTGCAGAGCATGGCCTCTAGGCCCACAGGCTTCAGTAGTTGTGGCACGCAGGCTCAGTAGTTGTGGCTCATGGGCTCTAGAGCGCAGGCTCAGTAGTTGTGGTGCACGGGCTTAGTGGTTCCATGGCATGTGGGATCTTCCCAGACCAGGGCTCAACCCCCTGTCCCCTGCATTGGCAGGAGGATTCTTAACCACTGTGCCACCAGGGAAGCCCCATACTGTCTTGATTACTATAGCTTTGTAGTATAGTTTGAAGTCAGGGAGCCTGATTTCTCCAGCTCCGTTTTTCTTTCTCAAGATTGCTTTGGCTATTCAGGGTCTTTTGTGTTTCCATACAAATTGTAAAATTTTTTGTTCTAATTATGTGAAGAATGCCATTGTTAGTTTGATAGGGATTGCACTGAATCTGTAGATTGCTTTGGGTAGTATAGTCATTTTCACAATGTTGATTCTTCCAATCCAAGAACATGGTATATTTCCCCATCTGTTTATGTCATCTTTGATTTCTTTGATCAGTGTTTTATAGTTTTCCGAGTAGGAGTCCTGTGCCAAATGTAAAATCGTTAGCTGGTGGGAAGCAGCAGCGTAGCACAGGGAGATCAGCTCGGTGCTTTGCGACGACCTAGAGGGGTGGGATAGGGAGGGTGGGAGGAGGGCTCAAGAGGGAGGGGATATGTGGGTGTATACATGCATATGGCTGATTCATTTTGTTGTGCCACAGGGTCTAGCTCAGTATTGTGAAGCAGTTATACTCCAATAAAGATATATTTAAAAAAAAAGGCAGGGGCTCAAACAGATATTTGTACACCTATGTTTATAGCAGCATTATTCACGATAGAAAAAGGTGGAAGCAACCCAAGTGTCCATCTGGATAAACAAAATGTGGTATATACATACAATGGAAATTATTCAGCGTTAAAAAGGAAAGAAATTCTGACACATGCTACAACATGGATTAACCTTGAAGACATTATGCTAAGTGAAGAAAGCCAGACAAAAAAGTTCAAATACTATATGCTTCCACTTATAGGAGGTATCTAGAGTAGTCAAATTAATAGAGAGATAGAAAGTAGAATGGTAGGTTTTTAGGGACTGGGGAAGGGAGGAATGGGGAATTACTGTTTAGTGGATCAGAGTTTCAGTCTTAGATGATGAAAAAAGTTCTAGATGTGACTGGTGGTGATAGTTGCACAGCGGTGTGAATGTACTTAATGCTACTGAAGAGTACACTTAAAGATGGTTAAAATGATACATTTTATGTATATTTTACCACAATTAAAAAAAATAAGTAAATAAGTATGCTCATTATCCCTTACAGCTAACCATCCCACTTCTGGGAACAGGTCTTAGAGATATTCCACAAAATATGTATATGGACAAGACATGCATACTGTTTGTATTAGGAAAAAGATTGGAAACAACACCACCCATGAATAGAGGACTGGATGGATGAATAAACTGTAGGATATTCTTAATTGAAATGACCATGGTTCGTTTTCTTTGAGAATGTGGCAATGGAGAATACAGTGACTTTTAGTAGATTAGTAGTGTAGCATTTGGTACTAGATTCAAGCTAAGGTACTAGCAATTTTAGCCACCAACAGTACAAATGTCAACTCAATGAAAAAGGCAGGGTTTTTTCCCCCACAATAGGCATTAGAAAGAAAAGAATGTCATAAAACTTGGCTACTCATAAAATTTTTAATTCCTATAATGCCAGTGTATTCCCAAATCCTAGCTCATGCCTGGCACATAGTAGGCATTCAATTTGCTGAATTTATTTTTTCCCAAGGATAGCCTTTAGGGAGGGCAGGCCCATAGAGATGGTATTAAGATGATTTGCCTGGGAAGTCATTCAGCAACATCTAAGTGTCCCCACCTAAGTGTGAAACTCTCATTAGGTCCAATAAGGGAATCCAAAAGAAATAGCTTCTTCCATGTACTCTAATTAGAACATATTCTCACATGAAAATCGCTTAAGGTTTATAAAAACGTGCACCAAGAATAAGGAGTTATCAGGATTAGTGGGACAAATGAAGGAAATTAGGAGGATTCATTATACCTTGAGGGGACGTAATATTCACAGTTCCTTTCCAATTTATTTGAGTAAAATGCAGATCTAGTCTGGGCACCCCAGTACTTTAAGAAGTGTTATTTTCCAGCCATCTAAAATTTTAAGATCACTGGATGGTGAAAACATTTATGGGGTGGGAACTGATTTCAGGTCATGCACCTCTCCATGGTAGAGGAAATTGCTTGTTCTAGGGAACTAGGATGATACCCACAGCTGCTGCAACCTCTCAATTCACCAATCCAGGTTTCACAGCTGACCCATTAACTGGTATCATTAAGTTGAAAATTCCTTATCTCATTTAATGATTTTCAATTTTTACTATTTCCACTCCCCACGTCACACACACACACACACACACACACACACACACACACCCATCCTTTATCCCACCAACCATTTGTGGTTAACTTTGACATCCTGTTGTAATTTTTTTGGGTCAGTTTCTAAATATCTTACCATGTGCACTGAGGTCTGGTCATCACCCTGATAATATCCTCAAATTCAAAAGCACCATCAATATATATTCCTTTTCCTGAAACATTTCTTTTTAGCTATTCTACTTTAGGAACTTGAGCAAGTTACTTATAGGTCTTAAAAAGAGGGGGCTGGACTAGGTTAGAGGTTTTCAAACTTTTCTTATCTTGACCCATAGTAATAAATACATTTTTATATCATGATAAGGTTCACACAAACATATATTTAACTGAAAACTTTTACAAAACATATTTTTCCCTACTAGTGGTGATATACTTATTATGTTTTTTTTAAATTGAAGTATAGTTGATTTACAATGTGTTAGTTTCAGATGTACAGCAAAGTGATTGCTATACATATTATAATCTATATCTCTATTTATATCTCTATTTATCTATTATTTTTCAGATTCTTTTCCATTGTAGGTTATTACAAGATATTGAATATAGTTCTCTGTGCTGTACAGTAGGTCCTAGGGTGTTCTTTTTTTGTGCTTTTCTTAAAAATTGAGTAAAATTCACATAACATAAAATTCACCATTTTAGTCATTTTAAAGTATCCAGTTTATTGCTCTGGTAGATTCACTGTGTTGTGCAACCATTACCACTATTTAATTTCACAACATTTTCATCACCTCTAAAAGAAACCCTATACCCGTTAAACAGTCACTCCCCACATTTTTCTGTTTTAATTTCATTTCAAAAGAATGCTGAGACTCACCATGTTGATCTTATGATCCACCAACTAATGAGTGACAATTCACAGTCTGAAATAATTACTAAATAATTACTAAGAAGACTTCTATCTCTAATTCTAATATGATCCTATTCCATTCTAGACATTATTTGCCTCCAAGTGAAGTCTTCTGGCTTGGAGGATTCCCACTGAAATTTTCTAAGAGTTGCAACTTGCCTGTTTGCATTTATTCATTCATTCAGTAGACACTTCTTAAGGGCTTGAATGGAAAAGAGATACAGAACACATTGCTAACTTCAGAGAGTTCACAGTCTAATACATGGAAATGGGCATGAAAATAAATGAGTATGAATGAAGAAGGGGAAGTGATCAGTTCTATCTTGCAGTGCAACGAGGGGATGGAATTAAGAGTTTCACAGAAGATATGATCATAGTTTGAGTTCAGAAGGAATATGTAGGTATTTTCTTATTGGCATGTAAACTTCTACTCTGAAAGTCTTTTTTTCAAGGCTACACTGCCACTTTCCTACAATGGTCTCTGCAAGTCCCAGAAAGACTATAAAGAAACTGGGTTTCATACTGGCCAGGAACAAGGAAGACAGAAAGGAGAGAAAGGGAAGAAGGAAACAAAGAAACTAATGTTAGTTGAGTACCTATAATGTGTCAAGCACATATACTTTTTCATTTAATCCTCCTAATAATTCCTCAAAGTATATATTCTTATCCACATTTTTCTCAGAGCAGAAACCTCTCACATGTCCTAATTCATTTTGGCTGTAGAGGAACACATACAAACATTTTTCAAGTGAGAGAGGGATGTGGTGCCCCAAAATTTGGCACTTCAATGTGAAAGTTTTCACTAAACACCTCTAATTTGCTAATGATATATGATCTTTTAGAACTTGTTCTTTATTAGGAAAGCAGCTATGATACATCAAAGTCATTATAAGGTGAGAGGGCAACTGATGAGGGTTTTTCTCACCCATGCATTGTGAGGATCCAGGAGGAAAGGAAGAACAGAGAAGTGGAGAATAATCTAAAGATTTAAAAAAGGACATGCCCACTGATGTTCATGCCAGGGAAGGTTTCAATCCCCATCAGTCAGATGGCCAGAAAGGGGGAGTAATTTTTAAAAAATCATAGAGAAATAAATAGGTGTCTTGTTTCCAAGGAGACCATCTTCCTGTGGCACTTTGCTTGAAAGTTACTCCTTGCCCTGATGAAAAGCTGAGGGGAATGAAGAGTTCCTGACCTGCTGGGAGTGGACCGCAGTGACCCACCAGGTAGAACTTTCAAAGATCCAAATGATACCAGAGAAGCATGTGGAAATAAGTAAGGCTTGGAAGGCATAGGACTGGCCATTTGTTTGGACAGTGTAGCCAACAGTGGATTTCCTTTAAGCAGGAAATCTGACCAAGGACCACTGCATTTGACCAGGATTCTGATTCTGCAGGAATGGGGCATGGGTGAGGTTGAAGATAGAAGGAGACCTTTAGTAGAAAGCAGGAAAACAGAGATATTACTGAGTAGCAGAGTGGATACAACGCATGAGAGAAACCAGTCTTGGAACATTGAGGCCAGGACATGATAGCTGATAATGAAGTAACGGAAGTATCACCTCAAAGATAGGAGTAGCAAGTTTTGGGTTGTGATCGGTCACAAGCAAATACATGAGAAGTCCCAGGGCTTCTATGGCCAGCAGCAACTGAGAAGAGTTCATGTAAAGGCTAAAAAGTGTATAACTCTGGTTGGCAAAAAAGAACATTTGAAAAAGGAGAGCTAGGACCCAGAAACAGGAAGAAATGGAGGGAGTGAGTATTTTGGAGCATTAATTATGTCAGACATTGTGCTGAGTACTTTACTTCTTATTTAAAACTCAAATCCACCCAAGAAAGTAAGAGATACCATCCTCATTTTATAGACAAGAACTCTGAGGCTTGGATTTCAAGTTTTATTATAGTTGGGAAGACTCTATATCAGATTAACAAAAGGAACAGAGGTAGGCAATAGGGATACCTTTTAACAGGGAGTTAATAGAAGAAGCTTTAAAAAATTACCTTTTTTTTTTTTTTTTTTTTGTGGTACACGGGCCTCTCACTGTTGTGGCCTCTCCCGTTGCGGAGCACAGGCTCCGGACGCGCAGGCTCAGCGGCCATGGCTTACGGGCCCAGCCGCTCCGCGGCATGGAGGATCTTCCCGGACCGGGGCACAAACCCATGTCCCCTGCATCGGCAGGCGGACTCGCAACCACTGTGCCACCAGGGAAGCCCTAAAAAATTATCTTATACTAAGACAAAATAAACAAAGCTAAGAAAACTTACTCTTGGGCCTGATGCTCCAGGTGGACCCTATAACATAAAAAGATTTTTAAAGTATTTATTAATTAGATATCTCAAACCAAGCAGGCATATAAGCATCAATGGTAAACAGATATAAATGTAAATAAACTCACTGGAGGCCCTGGTTGACCTCTCGGTCCTTGGGGACCCTAGAAGAAATGGAGACAAAGCACAATATGAATATACTATGCTTTTGGTTTGGTATAAACAAGATGACTAAGATTCAACTGCTATCATTGCCTTTTCATATGAGGCAAGTGATAGGATTCAAAGTTATTTTAGTATTTTGAAGTAATATGTTCTTGAACTCAGCTGTCACCCACATTCATCAACAAGCTGAATACATACTCTCATGTTTTGTTGATATTACTAGAAACTAAATTTATTCATTTTAATAAACTTATAAATGTAACATTTAACAATGTTAATTCTGTTTTTCCTGTTATTTCTATCTACCATACAACTAATTGTAAAAAATGGAAACTTCAGTGTCCTTAGACATCTCCTTCTCCTTCAACATCCACCTATAATTTGGTTACCCACTACTGTTGATTTGACCTCCAAATCTTCCCAAAATACTACTACTCCCTCCTCATAGCAACTCTCTTAGTTTAGTGCTGATCATGTGCTATGGACTCAATGTTTGTGTCCCCTCCTACATGCATATATTGAAGCCCTAATCTCCAGTGTGATGATATTTAGAGGTGGGGTCTTTGGGAGCTAATTAAATCATGTGGAGCCTTCGTGAATGGTAGTGCCCTTATAAGAAGAGACACGAGAGAGATGCTCTCTCTACTGTGTGAGGTCATAGCAAGAAGGCAGCTAGCTATCTGCAAACCAGGTAGAGGACCCTCATTAGATATGGAATCTGTGAGCACCTTAACCTTGGATTTCCCTGTCTCCAGTACTATGAAAAATAAATGTTTGTTGTTTAAGCCATCCAGCCCACAGCAATTTGTTATAGGAGCCCCAGCTGACTAAGATATCGTGCTGTGCCTGGACTCCTCATTTGACTTACTGACTTTCTTCTGTCTACTATGCTAACTACATTCTACTTATAAAATGGAAATCTAATCATATCATTATTTAATTAAAATCATTCAGTGGCTTTTTACTGTTTAGTGGGTAAAGTATAAACTTCTTTTCACTGATAGATACCATTTACTGAGAGCTCACTATGTGTCAAGCTGTGTGCTCATTTATTAAGAACTCACTGTATGCCAAGTTGTACGCTATATTTCTACTTCGCAGTTAAGAAAATGGAATGGCTAGGTAACCAGCAAGTAAAGGGCAGAGATAGGATTAAGATCCAAGTCAGTTCAATACAAAAGTATATGTTCTTAGTCAATATGCACCCCTGCCTCTTCTTCAAGGTCTGGGCCTTATTTCCACTTACTCTCCCCAACCCATCCTACACTCCCATCTATAACCAACCACTTGCAGATCTCTGAATCGTCCAGATTCTTTCACACATGAATTCTCCCGCATGTGCTATTTCCTCGACCAGGAATGCTTCTCCTTACCTTTTCTGTCTATTCAATTCCCATTCCTCTTCCAATACTTCTTTAAAACTATATACCCACCTTGCCACCTTCTTCTTTAACTAACCACTTCTGCATTCCATAGTACATAACAAATGGGAAAGTCCCTACAGACCTTTAAAAGTGTCTTAGTCATCCTCTCATTTTCTGGAACAGGAATAGTGCCTAATACATAGTAGGTGTTCAAAGATTGGTAACGAATGAATGAATAATGTTTAAATTAACTAGTACTGATTTAGAAATTAGAATAGTTGAAAGGTATATAGTAAAATGTGAAAAGTTATGCTGACATTTTTCAAAACGAAACAACAGTAATCACTGTTAAGAATGCTCAAAATTTTACTTACTGGATGGTCGATTGAATGTTAAGACTATGCCGAGTCAAATTCAGATTATGGTTAAAAGATGGCAAAGCAAAATTTATCTTCAACTGAGTTTTGAATAATGTTAATGCTATGCTTGACTTAAGTATCTGTTATTGCCAAAGCTGTTGATTCTAAATATACTGTGACAATAAGAACAAACAACACATAGTAACTTAAAAAGGATAGAGTACTCCAACACCATGCCTGCTGGACATTTCTTAGTTTGCATGGTTTATGATTATAGGTTAAAGCAGAAAATGCATCAAACTTTTACCTCAGAAGTTGCATGGTAAGTTAGGGAGATCTCATGTTGGAGACAGCCTTTTAAATATACAGAGGCTCGGGCTTCCCCGGTGGCGCAGTGGTTGAGAATCTGCCTGCCAATGCAGGGGATACGGGTTCGAGCCCTGGTCTGGGAAGATCCCGAGGCTCGGGCTTCCCCGGTGGCGGTGAGGCACAATTACTGAGCCTGCGCGTCTGGAGCCTGTGCTCCGCAACAAGAGAGGCCGTGACAGTGAGAGGCCCGCGCACCGCGATGAAGAGTGGCCCCCCCGCTTGCCACAACTAGAGAAAGCCCTCGCACAGAAACGAAGACCCAACACAGCCAAAAATAAATAAATAAATTTAAATATACAGAGGCTCAAGAGTGAAATTGGCTGAGTAAGTTTCTCCATTTTGGATCAGCATTGTTAAAAATAAACAGTTGACATTTTACTCTACTTAGCATATTTCTGACATTTGCAAAATCTCACTGAAGGTTCAGTACAAAATAGCTACCTTATCTTTGACTGTGAAAAAGCATTTTGTCATAGAAAGAAGAAACTATTTTTACTGAGTTCACTTCAGCTTGCTACCCAGAACAAGTCAGATCATCACAAATATGATAAAATGAAATACTTCAAACAAGACAGGACAGGACAACCCCAATGAAGCAAATGCATAGAATAAGGCCAAGTAAAACAAAATATTATTCCAACAATATAGTATTTATTCTTTTTTATTCTTCTACCTAACCCACCACTAAGGAAAAGTGATTCACTCTCTCTAGATATTATATAAACAAGTATATAAAGAAGGTTATCATACAGTTTATAATAAAACTACAATTGTCTATGTTAATTTCCTATAGGGGAACCAAATTAATGTGAATGGTTATAGTGGCTATTTGGCTGTAGTGAGAGCACTACCTTTGAAAATAGACTGTCTCTCCATTTAATCCCACAATTCCCATATGATCCTTCAAAAGTAACATATTTTTTTCATTAAATTTGAAAAATACTGGTAAGTGTATGTCCTTAAACCTGACTGTGTTAGACTTTGCCTTTACATAAATACAATCTTTAGTTTCAGGATCTTTACTTTAGGCTGGCTTATGTACAGAGAGCTTCCCTTTCCTCATTCTTAAACTGAGAAGCTTGCACGGTAGATGCTTAGCAGCATCCCTGGTCTCTGCACACTAGATGCCACTAGCAACCTTTCCCTTTTCTCCAGTTGTGACAACCAAAAATGTCTCCACACATTGCCAAATGTCTCCTGGGAGGGGGAGCAAAATGGCTCCTGGTTGAGAACCACTGGTTTAGAGGGTTTAATTGGGAGTTTAGTAATATTAAATAAGATTTATTATTAGACAGTAATGTGATTAAGATGGAATGAGTGAATTCATGAGTTATTGTTATGCCCTAGGGGCATAACTGCATAACTGCATAACAATTCATATAGTTATGCCCTATAAGCCCTAGGGGATAACTGCATATCAGGAATCCATTCATGTGGAATCTGTATTTGGGCTGCTCTTAAAGTAGGTGAAGGATGTGTACATACCATCTTCCTTACCCAAGTTGCTCCTAACTCTTATTTTCTGAGAGGTACTATGATTAATAGAAAAGCACAGTAGCCTGGGATTTGGAAGATCTGGGCTCTGGTCTTATCTCTGTACCTAATTAGCTGCATGTCCTTGAGGGAGCTGCTGCACATTTGGATCTCAGATATCTCGAGTGTAACATAATAGGTTTGGTGAAGATAATCTCCAAGATTCACTTTAGAACTGTGATTTTCAAGCCTTTTATCATTTTTCTTCTTAATGTTTTGTATCTGGAGAAAGAAGGTCACATACGTGTACAAATAGGGAATGTTTTTCACATGAAATGCTTGTGACAGCCATTGTCATAGGCACTCGAGGTTTCCTATCTTGATGGAGCTTATGTTCTAGCCACAGTACTTGGAGAGGATAGGTCAGGGAGGCAGTTGGAGACAGGTATGGAATATGGGTTAATTCCAAGCCTCCCTATTTTTTCTTTTCCCTTTCCACTTCTCCTGTGGGAGCGGGGGGGGTGGTGGGGTGGGGGCATATAGCTTCACTGTGTGCAAACATCCTTGCTTCCTGTTAAGTAAGTCTGCTGAGAAAATATAAGGGACACATTGCTGCAAATTAAACACATCTATTTTAATACCCTTTGAGGATTCTTAGGCTATCTGAAATCACATAAATTTCCTTCCTCAGCAAACTAATATAACTATAATTTACTTACTCTGAGCCCCAAGCTTACCCTATGGTGAAAAGCAAAGATCTCAGCTGTCACTATATAATATCATGACCTTTTAAGCAAGACTTTAATGCTATCTTCAAGTTTATTCCTATATGCCTTCTATATTTGGTTTCAGTACCCCTCATTTCACTCCATGCATGCCCTCTGTTTATGACTGCTGCTTTAATAAGTTCTGCTGGGACAGTGGCCCCTTTACAAAATATCTTCTTTAACTTGGAAGAATTGACATCCAAGAAAAATAGGAAATAGTGCCAGTGTAAGCCATTTAGTCCTGAAAATGCTGTGTACCTTTTGCCCATCCTCTCACCATTGTTTCCAGTTGGCTGAAATATACAACTAATGGTTTGCTTCTGCTTTGCAGCCCTCTTGGGTGCTGACTGGATCTAGTGGTATATATCTAAAGTGACTTGACAGTCCTCCTGTTCTGGCACCGGTGAAGAAGGCTCACACCTCCTCTCCTGATGCCTGAGAAGGCAAATATTCAACTTCACACAGTGATTTGGAAAGAATGTGACTGACAGATTCTTAAACATGTTTAGGGCTTATCAGGTTTCACTGCAATATACCATATAGGTTAGTTCTATATATAGTTTTCTTCCTGAAAACTGTAATTTTATTTTCATTCCACAAGTATCAGGGACATAATAATGAAAAAATCAAAAAAGGTCCTTGCTTTCATAGAGCTTACAACCTAGTGACCAGTGATACTATTACCACAAATTTAGTTGAACTTACAGTTTCACCTCTAAAGCCTTTTTCACCTCTGGGTCCCTGAAAGAAAAATAAAATGTTAGTTTAGTGTTGTTGATAGTTATTTATCAAATGTAGTTGAGGCTGTATCCAGAAACATGATAATTTCTGTTGGGTTTTTTCCTATCTAGCAAGACCTGTTTAGTTAAAGTTACCTAAATTCTGATTTTCCTAAGTTAAGCAAAGCAAAACAAATACAACCTACTGACTCACCATGTCTGTTTTGCTATGCCTAGTTCCACCTTAAAGTGAGGGTTATGCTACTTATTCAGTTAAGTCAAAACAGCTGATCTGACAATCAAAGGCAAAATAATTTAGAAAGAAAATTAAGAAAGTTAAATTCTTCTAATATTTGTTTCTCTCAGCCTTTGAAAAACCCTGCTTCCAGGGTGGTTTCCTCCTTCTCTTTTATCTTCTTTTTTTAAATTCCTCCTTCTGAGCTATATCCCATAAATTTTGATACGTTGTGTATACAGTTTCAGTCAATTCAAAATATTTTCTAACTTTCTTTGAGACACTCTGGTCCTTGAATTATTTAGAAGTGTGAGGTTTAATTTTCAAGTGTTTGGGGATTTTCCTATTATCTTTCTAGTTTATTGATTCTTAATTTAATTCTGTTATGGCCAGAGAATATACCTTACATGACTTCTGTTATTTTAAGTTTAGTAAAATTTGTTTTATGATCTAAAATATGGTTTATTTCAGTGAATGTTCCATGTGCACTTGAAGACAATGTGAACTCTGCTGTTGCTGGATGTCACTACTGTTATTCCTGTTAATATTTTCATGTTCCTTATGGAAATTGTGTATTTTTTTATTAAAAAATGAGATACTACTACTCATCTTTTCTGTAACCTGAATTTGCACCTTCAAAATATTAATGCTTTTCTATATCAATCTACAATTCCCACCTAACCATAATGCTTACCAGTATTTTAAAAAGTATATTTTAAATGAATTGCCTATTAATTTTTTTTCTAATTTTTGTCATGATAAACAGCACTGTGATAAATATCCTTGCACTCTTAAAAATTTTTGATAAAAATTGTCCTCCAGAAAGTTTGTTTGAAATTGCATTCACACTTGCAATATATGGGAGTGCATGTTTCTTCTGATACATGCTATGATGTACTATCACTTTTTGTTAATCTTGCAGGCTAAAAATACTGTTTCATTATTATTCACTATTTATATTACTTCTTTTGTGTTTCCTATCTTGTCCTTAATTCATTTCAAACTACTATATCAACTTTAAAAAGCTGATTTTTAAGATATCTTTACAGAACTTTTTTTATGCCCTCCTCCACCTCCAATCCAGTATTAACAATGTGGTACATATCGCTTCATACTTTTTTCTAATCAGATATTGACAAGTGTATTTACATGTGTATGGGCTGATTGGTCATGTTTTATAATGTTGATATCATATACTCTTCTATGCATCATATTTTTCACGCTTAATAATACATCATGAAACAATTGCAAGTCAGCCAAACTAGATACAAATAATTATTTTTAATAGTTGCATTAATATTCCACAAAGTGGATAGATCAGAGTTTACTCAACCATTCCTCTACAGATGAGCATTCATGTGATTTCATACTTTTTTTTTTTTTTTTTTTTTGCCATTACAAACAGTGCTGTGAAAAAAAGCTTTGTAAAATTTCCCTAGTGTATTGGGTACTTTTATTTATATGGGACAAATTCCTCAAAGTGGAACTGCTTGGTCATAGGGTATATGTACATATTTTTTAACAAATACCTTTCCATAAAGGCTGTAATTCACATTTCTATTAGTGATAAACAAAAATACCTTTCTTCCTACAGCCCTTTCTGAGAGGTTAGATGTAATATCTCATTATTACCTTAATTTGCATTTCTCTGACTAAAAGGAGACTGTTTTTTCAAATAATTACTGACCTTTTGGATTTATTCTTCAATTCTCTACTAAATTTTCTTTTTCATACCAATTTGTAAAGCTCTTTATATTACCCATTATATGGTATATGCTTTGCAATTACTTTTTCTCAATTATATTAGTTTTACTTATGGAATCTTTTGCCATAAAAATTAAAAATTTTCAAGCATTCAAATATGTCTTCTGTTTTTTTATAGTTTTCACATTTCCTATCTTATATAAAAGGTCTCCCCAATCCTTAAGCTATACTTTAGTTTCCTAGATGATTTTTCTGAGATTTTTAATTGCTTCTTTTCTTTCTTTTTTTTCCTCTCTTTTCTTTCTTTTTTTTTTTAACAAAGTCTTTAAAAGTTCATCTGAGATTTTTAAAAAATTGGGTGAAATAGGGTTACAATTTCTTATAGCAGTAGTAAGACTAAAAGGAATTTCGTCTCCCTTCCCTATCACTGTTATAGGAATGGGTGTGTGGCTGATTAATAGACGTGAGAAAAAAAAATGTAAATTGAGACTTATAGAAAAAGTTTTATTTTTCCCAAGACAAGGGATACAGTTCACTTTTTTACTTTGGATAATTATATCTAGATGTGATTCCTGAGAAATTGTAGTCATTTGCCCTAAGCCTAATTATAAAGATAGCATTCAGGATGGCAGAGCAGAGGTATGGAAATAGTCTTGGATAACATGACTAAGTCGCCAAATTAACCAAATCTGAAGCCCTTCCTAACTCTGCGATTCCCATAATGAGATAGAAGTTTCCTTATTGTTAATGCCAGTTTGATTCAGGGTTCCTATTACTTGCAGTCCAAATCATCCTAACTGATATACCATTTTCATTGTAATTAAATTCCTATTTAGTCTGAGATCTAATTCTGGGCTCTAGCCTGTTACAATGATCTATTCTTTGTACTAACACATAGTGCCATTTACAAAGACTCTGAAGTAATGTTTTCCTTTTTGGAAAAGCAAGTCCTCCATCCCCCACCACTATTTTTTTCCACAGTGTGTTTTGGCCATTCTCAAATTCTTATTCTTTCATAGTGAGCTTTCCTTAGAAGTTTCTTCTTAGAATAGAAAAAATAGATGGAAAAAATTTGATGTACATGCTGAGCATTATAAGGGCCTTTAAGAACTATCTATAAACAAAACACAGTAAGATATTTTAATTGAGCCATTTCTTTATCATATTTTCCTTCACCAATTAATATTTCACATTTTTGACAGAGGAGAACAATCATTCCATAATCAGAACAGTATGTGTTCCTTAGCTTGCTTGCTGAAGAACCAACCACCCACTGAAATATGAGATTTCTCCCACTTATAACCTCCCACTTAGACTGTATAGCTCGGAGTGGTAAATGCTGCAAATCTAGAGAAATATTGAGTTGCACATTTCATTTTTTTAAATTAAAAAGCCAGAAGCTTTGGTGGTGAATTCTTCTCTAAATTTATCAATGAGAACAGTGATACTTAATATTTGAAACATTCTCTTTTATATTTTAAAACTCTGTGTCTGTAGACACAACACTTTCAAATCATTCAAAATACTGATTCCCTGCAGAGAATGAATCTTTCCTTTCCAAGCCTCAATTTTCCTCTTGTATGTTTATACTACTGTTAGTATTGTAAAACCCTCCTGTGACCACCTCACTGTCTTATTTATTTCATAGCAAGATTCCCTAAGGCCCTGGCATATGTTAACTCTCTCAGTTTCCTCTCCAGACATAGCTTGAATGGAGTGGAAAGAGCACTGCTCTTGAAGTAGGAAATATCATCTATATGATTCACTACGTGTATTATCTTAAATAACTAGGTGAACTTCTATAAATGTCATCTGTTTCCTTATGTCTTGAATGCAAATAATCATACCTACTCCAAAAGTTTGAGAAAAGTTATTATTAAATATTTTTATTTACTTCCTTCCTCACTGAAAGCTGTACTCCGTCTTCCACTGCAATGTATTCTCTTAAAGATCACCGTTAGCTACTCCTTTCTCGAAACTGAGCTTAACCTTGTGCTTTTCTGTTTTTCCTGCTCTTCCCACCAACTATTTCATCCCTTTATTGTGGGCACCTCCAAAGAAAGACTCAAATCTTGGCTGTATGCGTACCTTTTCTTATTCTCCCTCTTTCAGAAAATGGATTCTTTCTGTTGCTTTAGTGATCACCCCTGTGCTTATAATGCTCAACCCCTCCTCCGCCACCCAGTGCTACTTTCCTTTCTCAACTCCAGTTTTAAGTGCCTACCTCACTATGTACACCTTTTCATTACATTAGATTTATAAGTTCTCAAGAATAACCTTCCAGATGAAAATGTACATCTGTTTTTATCCTTGCTTCTCAAATACCCAGGGTGATCCCTTGTGGATTACTCTAGAATAGGATTAAGTAAAAAAAAAAAAAAAAAAAAAAAAAAAATATATATATATATATATATATATATATATAAAAAAAAAAGGAAAAAAAAAAAACCTGTATTGTGACAAACTTACAGTTCTACCTGTTGGGCCTATTATACCTTCTCTGCCAAGGGGGCCAGTGTTTCCCTGTTGGGGTTAAAAAAAAAAAAGAAAACAGTCAGTCTCAATGCCAGTATAATTCAGGAAAATTCTAGAAAATTTCTTGCACAATGGCAAAATAGTCCATGTCCACATAATTCCAGTTTTTATTACAAAATCTTATGTTATTGGCAGAAATCATAGTAATTTTGATTTGATGCAATTCTGCATATTATTATGGTTTCCCATTAGGAGAATTAATCTCTATAATTTCTAACAAACTGATAAATCAGCATTACAATTTTTATGTGGTGATAGCTTCAGTGGTGCCATTTTATATATGTGTCATTGCATAACAAATGCAATTACTTTATGTAACAAAGACTATGTAGAGTCATGGACAAAATTTTGAATAAATTTATTTACAGATGTTGAACAAGCAGATATTTGAGTGACATGCAGCATGGAATTGAGAGAAATTATGGGAAAGAACCAGAGGGCATCATTTGTGACCAGTTAAACTTCTGGCTGCTTCATCAGTAAAATAAGAATGCCTACTTCACAGGGCCATTGTGAGAACTAAATGTGAAAAACAATTTTGAAAGTGTAAGCTGCTATTTGATTATGAAGGTAACCTTGAATAAGCTGGATCTCTGGTCAACTCCTCCCAAACTAAAAATGGAGCCTATCATTTCTTAATGAATACAAAATACATGTTTTAGTTATTTTCCCTCAACCTCCATCCCCGCTACCACTAGCTTCAAATTTCAATGTTTCTAGCTCCACTTAACGTGGCATATATAAATGTGGCTATCTAACAGTCTTTCTTTTTGTCCAACTCCTGCCAAGATACAGAAAAATACTCAGTGGAGATAATTATAATGCCATTCAGTCTATTGACAAATAGCTTTAAGATTAAGTTGGCTTAGAATGAGAGAAATTACCTGATACTCTAAAAAGTAAATCTAATGAAAGCACTTTTAAATATGAAGATCTACTTTAAGTGATAATTTTTAAATATGGTTCCCAAATCACAAAGGTCCACAATCAAGAGGCTTGATTTCTTATCCTAATCAAATATATCCTCCAGATTGGCTTATTACTGGGAAAAAAAAAAAAGCCAAGAAAGTGTCAATCTAATAAATTTGACCATGATCTAACTCGCAGAAATAATGATTGGTACGTATTATTCAGTCAATCGATGTGGATTCAAATTCCAGCTCCTCTACATACTAGCCACATATGGCTTTCAGCAAATTACCTTTCAGAGATTTAGTTTCCCTACCAGCAAAATGGGGATAATAGCATCTCTCACAGGATTTTTATGAGGAGTAAATGATATAGGGACATAAACTGAACACCAGTACCTGGTACATAATAGTTTTATGCTAAATATTAACCTAGCAAGACTTTTCACTTGTTTCTACAATGACTTAATAGGAATATCTGTACTTATAAATTAGTATTTGTGAACTAGTTACCATAACCTTACTGTCGGAGAGCTGATAAAATTTCTGGAGCTGCAAAGCAGTATAGGTTCAGATCCTGGCTTATAGAGACACAGCACCTCATATGACTTTGCTTAGGACAGAGGCTAGGCAGGCAGCCAACTTCTCTTTGACAATATAAAGAAAGGATTTAATTAATTGAGAACTTAATAAAATCAGAATGAATGAATTTAATTACTGGGGAACTTTATGTAAGAACTTAAAACCAATATTTATCACAGAGAAGCCTATCCATACATAACCCACCTGTGGATGATAAAGAATTGGACTTTACCTAAAAGCACAAGCTTTCCATGGTTCTTCAGAAATCATAAAAATAACTAATACATTTGCACCTGGAGAAATGTTGAGACGGGTCTTTAAATAAACATTTCCCATGATAACACTGCTCTTTGTATTATAGGAAATAATTTATTGTAAGAGTTAGGGAAGCGGCGTAGGATTTTAAAAATATGACTTTTCATTTAATATTTGCACAAGATAATGGTTTTCAGTTTTAAAATTCTTCTTCAAGACTCAGTTCTCCTCTATCTGAACTGCTCTCCTTCCTCTCAGCTCTCTCCACCCTTGCCTTAGCAACTGCTGTTAGCCATAGAGGTGCTACTACCACAGTCAAACCAGTGCTTGGCTTTTATTTTTAACCTTTTTTCTCTTTAGTTTTATAGATCATCTCATCAGTTAGGAGAGTGTGGTTAATAAAAAAGCAAACAAACAAACAAAAACAATAACCAGTTACTGCTGGTGACTTATCTATCCTATTTACGTTCTCTACAGTTTGCAATTTCAGGCACTAAACAGCTAACTGGAGTTCTTCAGAGCCCTGACCTTTCCAACTCTTTAAGGAGTTTCTCGTTACTCTCTGGGGATACCCACCCCTGAGCAGAGGAAACACAGCTATTGGGAAACATTTTTCAAAGTGTGGTCTGAGAAGCTCTGGTCATAGACAAGCCTCCTCCAGGTGGTACATGGGGGTGGTCTCTAGTCCCTGGTTATATTAATGCTTATAACATGAAACTGCTTTATGTTTTTTATAATATATTTATTAACTGGTATGAGTTAATATATTATCCAGTAGTTACATTAATTCTTTTTTTTTAAAGTAAGAACTGGGCAGTACAGGTGGTCTGTGAGGTCTTTTGCTCAAACTAACAAACGAACTGAAAAAGGTTGAGAATGTCTGCATGTGCTCTAATGAGTTTCTGTTTTAAGAGTCATTTTTTAAAGTTATTAATTTGGAGTATATTTATTTTAGAGTTCTTAACCCTAATTCCTGTAGTCAACAAAGAATCACAATATCTGGGAAGGCAGAATGACTTCATACTTACCCTCTGTCCAATAGGACCTTTAGGACCTGATATTCCAACAATGCCAGCATCTCCCTCAGGACCCTAGAAACACAATTTAAAAAAAGCCAAAATATGAACATTTAGTACATGAAATAACCTTGTACCAACGTATTAAGAATTGGCTCTTAAAAATGGAACTTGATAGTTAATGAAGTACAGGCTTAAGTATTTTGGAGGAATCGTACTGAGGTCTACAATTTACTTCAAAAGACATCAAAAATGGATGGAGAGAGGAGGAGGTATAAATAGATGGGTAGGTACATAGTCAAGCAAGTAGAGTAAAATGTTTTGGTAGAATTTAGGTAATAGGTATATAGGTGTTTACTCATTCTCTCAACTTTATGTTTGAAATTTTTCAAATAAAATGTTTGGGAAAACAGAATGAGAAGAGACAAAAGCTAATTATTCCATAAAATTGCTAGGAAAATATATAGTTACATAAGTCAAAATTAACATATTCAAAACTCAAATATATTACTCTGTACCAACTGAAATTTTGCGATTAAAAAAACAAAAGCTCAAGTCAGAGATTAAATATTGGTATTTCAACATCTGTTTCTTGAACAGATGTTGAACATTGGTATTTCAACATTGGTATTTCATCATAGCCAGAGATAAGCAGAAAATATGTGAACATACTTTGGGGCCTGGGAATCCTTGGAAACCTGTCAAACCTTGAATACCATGTTCTCCCTGCAATGTGAATAGATATGATAACCATTATTGTACGATGTTGGCCTGGTCTGTAGAACAAGTACTTAGTGAATTTCTGAGTTGTCACCTACAGACTGCCCTTTCATGCCGGGCTCTCCACATGGTCCTTGATCACCTTGTGCTCCTCGGTGACCTCTTTTACCTGGAATTCCAGGTTGACCAGGTAGCCCTTGTTCACCCTACGGACAAAAAAATAAAAGAAAGGTTATCTTGACTTTAGAACCTATAAATATATTGGCTTTTAAATGAAATCTAAATACTGGCCCATCCTCAGGCATGTGTACAAGGCACTAGAGAAGTCAAAATCTGCATGATCATTCTCCCCACCAATAGTTTCCATATACATAATATTTGATTACAATGAATGAGAAGTGTGGCAGCAGGGAAATAACATTCCAGAGATTGTGGTCATGACTGTGGAAAGAGGAGGGAAGAGGGGGCCTGCAAAAGTAGGAGGAGGATAGTGGGGCTACAGAGAGAATAGTGAGGGTGTAGGATGTGTGGAGGCGTTTGTATGCGATGGAACTTGTATTTTATTTGAATTGAAATTATTTTGCTGTGTTTTTCTTACATACAGAGATGATTCAGCTATCTGATATCAGAAACAGAGCAGAATCTCTTGAAGTGTGAACCCTGGTTTTTGCCATGAGTATCTTTTCAATTCCATCATTAAGAAATTTCAATTATCTGTTTCCCAAGATTCCTTTGATACCAGTCCTCTTTATCCCCTAAAAGTTCACTTTTAAGACATACTTTATTATCATTATTTTATTTGAAAAAGTCAAGTCCTTTTAAAATTTATTTTTATTTTGTTTTTGAAGTGAGGGTTGCAATAGCTTTTACCATTTCTAAAAATAAACAAGAATCATGTGGAGTTTATAGATAAGGTAATGAAAAATGATGCTTGGTAGACTTTGACCAAAGCTTTAAGATTAGCAAATTATCCTTCACTGTATTGAGATAAAGATACAGCTTTGGGACTTGACAAACTGGATCTTTTTTTTTTTTTTTTTTGCAGATTCACACATAAAAGGTAGGGATCTTTCTTATTTATTTTCCTAGGTTTAGCATTTGCTCAGCTATCTTGTATTTCAGTGGAAAGGGATATTCATGGTATAAACATTAACAGAAAGGCTCAAACTTTAAACAGTAAGCTGCTGGGTCATCATTTTCAGTTTACCCATATGGGTCAGAATACCTAGAAATTCTTTATAAGTGGAACTCTGAAAATCAAATTAAGAGGTAATAATGATGAGGGTGCCAATGTCTTAATCCTAGTCTTTTATGAAATAGCATTAGATACGGGACTAGTCTCTTGGTTGTCTGGGTCAGATCTGCACTGAGATATTTCTAAGAGAGGTTTTGTATGGAAAGCCTATTGCCATGTGGCAATACTCCTGGCAATGAATGTTAAGGCAAGACAATTACTATCACTTCGACCTTAAGAAATAATCTGTACTCCTATCAGATTTATTAATTGGTTGGTTAGGTTCAGAAGTAGGGGAACAGGAAGTATAACTGAGAAAGCATGCAACTGGAAGTAAATAAGATTTTTCTGTTTTGGCGGAGAAGGTGGATGACAGAAAGGAAAGAAGAACCAAAATGAGTCAAAGAACATTTTTTAAAGCATCACCAGTCCTGGGTTTATGAGTAGTTTTGGCAAATGACATGCACTGTGGCTATCACGGGAGATGGCTATGTCAAGGCCACACACTTCCGTTTTTTCCTAATGTGTTTTCATGTTAGCCAAATTTTATTAAAAGCTATCAGTCTTACCATCCTGTGATCTAGCCAGTAAACTCAGGGCCAGGAGGGATGGTCAATACTGCTCATCCATCAGAACAAACATGAAAGTACCTTCGGGCCTAGAACTCCTGGGCTTCCTGGAAGACCCGATGAACCCCTTGCTCCTTGAGGACCTGGAGACCCAGCCAGTCCCATTCTTCCTGGGCTGCCTCTGACACCCTAAATAACACAGATAAGAAATGAAGACTGGTGCAGCTCCTAGAAAATCCATCCAGACGCTCAATAAATGAAGGAGGGGTTGGTGTTCTGAAAGCCTACTGTTGATACACTGCCCAGGTTTGGGAGTTATCCTGGGCTTCTTTCCCAAATAAGTGAAATGTTTAAATGATGTTTAAAATCTCTAATTATAGTTAATGTAATGGTCTTGGGTTTTTAAAATAAAAATACTGAGGCAGCACAAAGTCCACCTTTGTACTATCCACCAAAGTCAGTATCTTCTGACTAAGTAGCCTAGATGTGAAGTATGTTTGTCACATTCTAACTTTTTGTGTTATACTCCTGTGTGCATGACAACTCTAATGAACACACCCTTAAGAAGAATATTCTTCTTATTGTGGTCATTACTTCTCAATATATACAAATACCAAATCACTACATTGTACACTTGAAACTTATATGATGTTATATTGATTATATCTCAGTAAAAAAGAATATTCTAGTTTTCAATCACACATGACTCCAGAAAATTTGCTTCAAATAGCTTAATTGGGAATAAAGTTAAGTAAGCAAACAGTATTTCCTCAAAGCCAAATCCTAAATCAAAGTTGGTAAGCTATGGTTTGCAAGCCAAACCCAATCCATCCCCTCTTTTTGTAGAGCTTGTGAGCGAAGAATAGTTATTACCATTTTCACATGTTGAAAAAATCAAAAGAAGAATAATATTTCAAGATGTGGAAATTACACGAAATTAGAGTTTCAGAATCTGTAAATAAAGTTTTATTAGAAAACAGTCATGCTCATTCATTTATATATTGTCTGTGACTGCTTTATGCTATAATGTCGTTGTGGCAGAGACTAAAAGGCACTCATTGCTTCCCACTACTGCTTGTTGCACTGCAAATTACAGTGATGCAATTATAACTTGACAGTGTTTTGAGAGGAACATATATTGACTCATTGTGAGATTTTATTATCAGTGCATATCTGTTGTATCAAAACAAGAAAAGAAGAAAACAGTTGGCTTTGAATGTTGCATTTTTAAGGCACAGTGGAATGTGGATTATTTTGTGATCAAATTAGATGTGAAAGCTTTATTTATTATGCAATGACACTATAGTTTTGCTAAAAAAAGTACAATATACATCAACATTATCATACCAAGCACTTGACACAATATTCCCACCTCACAGAAGTGTAACAGTTAGAAAAATGAGGAAACCTAAAACGGAGTATCTTATCACAATAAAAATTCTTCACAAAAATTTGAAAATGAAGTTGCAACTAAAGTTTCTGAGTGGCTCATTTGTTAGTCCAACAAAGTTGCTTATTGATAGATTTAATTAAATCGTGCAGCAAAAATAAACTCGTTTCTTAGCATTTTGGCAAGAACAGTTGCTTAAAATGTCAAGGACACTGGAGCAGCATCAATAGTCAATTGAAAAATAAGGCAAATGCTTTCAAGTGGTTTTCCTTGCCTCTTGATTAATCGACAGATGTTAGTAATACTGCTCAGCTGTTTATTTGAGGAGTCATTGCTGAGTTTGAAGTGCCTGAAGCATTAACCTGTATGAATAGTTTGTGGAGTGACTATAGGTAAGAATATTTTCAAGTAAGTTAAAACATTAAATCAGTTCAACCTGAAGTGGTATCTGCTAAAATGTGATAAAACTGATGGCAATGGATAAGAGAAAGACTAACTAGACGAATTAACAAAACTTGTGAAAATGTTAAGATATTTAGAGCTATGTTTATTTATTGTATTATTCACTATCAGGTACTCTGAGGAAAATACTTGAATCTAGCATATGTTATCATTGACTCTTGTAAATTTAACCTTCGGTGGTTCTGTGAATTTTTTTTGTCAAAATAGAAACTGAATATCCTGACTTTCTCTAACATGTAGCAGTTTGATGGCTTAGCAGGGATAAAGTTTTATTGAGATTTTTGAGACTATGATTGAAGTTTTTTTGAATGAGAAGAACTGCCCTCAACCTCTATTATGGAATGATAAATGGCTTTAGAAATTAGATTTTGCTGCAGACTCATTTAATGCTTATCTATGAATTCAACGAAAAATTGCAGGGCAAAACAATGCTCACATGTGAAACATACTGTGATAAAGTCATTTTGATGACAACTAATGTTTGAATCACAAGTAATGTCAAACAACTTTATACACTTCCTGTGCTGTCAAAAATTAAAACAAGAAGTAAGATCTCCATTTCCACACAAATTTGCGGTGGGTAGATTTTCTGAGCTCAAACACTTTCAGCCTTTGAAAGTGAAAAGCATTTTCACTTTCAAAAGCATTTCTAAAGCATTTTTCAGACCTAGATCCAAGAAATTTCTATATTCAAAATCCATTTAACTGTTCACTTGAGGAGTTCAACCTATAACTTCAATTGGAAATGACTAATGTACAATATAATGACATTCTAAAAGGCAACTACCAAGAGAAGAATCTAACAGAATTTTATAAATTCCTTCCAAGCAATGAATATGCTCAGTTAAAATCATATGCTCATGAACTGCAGTATTTGGCAGTACATATCTGTGTGAAAAGAATTTTCAAAGATGAACTATGTAAAACATGCAAAACTCATTCTAAGTCACATTAACAAATGAAATTTTGATGATAGGAAACTGTAATAAGCTAAATGTTATCCCCCTTGCAAAAGAATTCTGTTTTTCTCATCAGTAGACTTGTATCACAAAAAATTATACTACATTAATATATTTTAAATTTCATAAATAAAAATTTTGTGAAAACTTATTTTCTTTCTTGTTACATAAGTTCTTAAGTAATACCCTTGATTTTGCCTCTTGCCTTGCAAACTCAAAAACAGTTATTAATATTTACAGAAAAATTTTGCTGACCCCTGTTCTAGGAGATGATTGCTACTTTCTGAGTTGATTCCTGGGATAATAAATTGGGTCGTGTAATAGTTGTTCCATGCATTCAACAATATTTGTTGAATATCATCTATGTGTAAAGAAGGTATCATGAGAAGCCCTGTGGAGAATACAAATATAAATAAGATATGGTTTTTATTTTTAAGAAGCTTAAAATTAAGTTAAATAGACTGTAACATAAATAGTTATAATAAAGGCAGAAATGTAAAAAAAAATAAAGACCAGATGAGAAAAGAGATATAAATACTAGAAAGGTTCTGAAGAGGGGAAGTTACCTTTGGTGCTAATTAGAAAAGAAATTACTGAGAAGGTAGGGTTAACTGGATCATAAGGTAAAGCTGTTTCCCTTAGAGTTATAAATGTGGTAGGAGAGATAACTGACTCCAGATACGCTAGACTCATTTCTGTGGAAGGCCTGCTTGGGAGAATAGGATTTAAAAGGTAAAGCCAATTTTGAATTTAATGCTAAAGCACTTTCCCTCTTTTTAAAAAATGTTTCCTCCAAATTATCACATATCTTTTTATTCTCTTACTAGTGGTAAAAAAATAGTTCAATATATTAAAAAATTACCTTTTCTAAGCAGATTTTCTTCATGATCACAAAACTCACTAAAATAATGAATAAAATCATTTTTTCTATCACTATCACTAGGTGCCATGTACTATGCTCAGTGCTTAGGACACAGGCTCACATTCCTTAGCTTGACCTTCAAATCTTTTTTTGTCCCAATCTACATCAACCATTTTATCTCTCACCATTTATCTATATTAGTGGCTCTCAATATTTGTAAGGAACCATTATGAGGGCAAAATCTATATAGGGAGGGAGGAAGGGAGGGGGGCATGACAGAGGGAGGGAGAGGCAAGGGAGAGAGAGAGAGATCCACATTGTGGACTTAAGGATTCAGGTGGTGTGGTTCTTCCACGTTGCTTGCACCTTATCCTAAGTCATTAACCTACGCTAGTTCTTTCCCTTTGCTTCTTGCTATGTGTTTTACATCGATTTGATTTAATTTGGTCTGGGAGCCTTTTGGTTCCATATCTCTGGGATAGATTATCTGGTAGTGTACTTTCCATATGAACTATGAGAACCCTGGAGACATGAGATGGTGCCATTGTAGAGCTCATCAATACAAATGAAAGCAAATCCAGTCATAGTCATTTGAGACTGTGGGATACAGAATTTCAAAAATGTTCAGGGAAGGGACTTCCCTGGCGGTCCAGTGGTTAAGACTTCGCCTTCCAATGCAGGGGGTGTGGGTTCGATCCCTGGTCGGGGAGCTAAGATCCCACATGCCTCAGGGCCAATAAACCAAAACATAAAACAGAAGCAGTATTGTAACAAATTCAATAAAAACTTAAAAAAATGTTCAGGAAAGATATAAGTGTTACACCAATGGCCAGGATTCTAATGGGAATATGACTATAGGAAAGGCAAGTTTTAAAAACAAAATTCAGATGAATAGTGCCCTTCCCAATAAAAACAAAAAGAGGTTGAAAAACCTGAAGAAACCAGTGGCCTAAAGAGAAAGCAGATTTTACAAGGTCATAAATAAAAGATGGAAGGAAGGACATGTAAGCCAGGAAGAAAACAAATAGACCAACAAAGTCGCTCCAGAATTAAACTAGGTGAAAGGTTATAAAATACGAATGAGTACAGAATTTAAAAAAATAACAATGGGTTGTCTTTCAAGACTGAGCGTATCCTGTGTCTGGCTGTATTAGACAACTAGTGATCCCAGTTGGAGAGGAGATGTATCACGTGAAAGATCACCCTAGATGACTTCAGGACACCTCAACATTCCGGAGTTCTAAAATAGTACCACTTTACCTCACTTTACTTGTAAGTTTAGGTATTTTTAAAAATCTTTATTCTCCAACAGAAAAAAAAAAGGCATCTTTTGGGTGATACATGAACAATGGACATGCAAAGGCTGAACATTCCTGAGGTCAATAAGTATTTTTAGTGAGAATAATAAAGACCATATGACTAGTCCTTAGGGTTAACTGTACACGAGAAACTTCATTTTACTTGCAGCGCTATCAGACATTGTAACACAGCACGATAAATATGTTCCAAATCATTT